GCCAGAAAGCAGAGAGAGGGAAGAGTGACAGATTAAACCCTCCAAAGGCATGTGTCCTCCAACTGAGCCCCACCCCTTACTGCACGTTCAGCCATGAGCTCCACCGGATTGATCTCCCCATGCATATCGTACCCCCTGATTCAACAGCCTTCCAGCCCCACCTCTGAGCACATCAGTGCTTTGGGGACATTTCAGATCTGATCCATTACTGCTGGTTCTCGTGGCCATAGTGGGGGTGGTTATGTTTGGATGGTTTTATTTTTGGAGGGCATGTTGGGGGAAGTGTGTCTAAGAGAGGAAGGATGGGAGCTGGAACTGCAAAAGTGGTCCATGGTATTCTGTGAGCATTCTTAAAGCAGGCTGGGAGGTTTCCCTTTATACATTGGCTACAGGCAGACACACTGAGTGATTAATATGTGTGGGGCCAAGTAGGCATACTTTAAACGAGAGGGGGAGTGAATGAATGAATGAATTGGGAGTTTGAGGGAGAAGTGTGTGATACTCTAATCAAAGTAAGAGTTTAGGAAGAGTAACCCCATGCATCAGTGTTGAGTTGTTCAAAATCCAGAAGCCTTGGAGCCTGAAGCATATGTAACTACACTTCAACTCTGGTCCCTGTAGCTGCAACCAGCCACTTAACCCTTCTGTAATGGTTGATACATTGTGTCAACTTGAGAAGTCTAGAAGTTTAACTAAGCAACTCAGCAGGGAGTCAGGGCCCTCACTTTATAAACATCTTCATCCTGTGCAAAAGAGGAGGGCAGGGAGATGGGGTGAGTGCTACACCAGCCCTAGCGGGTGGTAGCCTGCTTACAATACAAGGGAGGGAAAGAGGCTTGCTCTTCTCCCTTTTGCTGTTGCTGCTTTTGCTGTCTTCTGCTGCCTTGAACTGTTGCCCCTGTGCCATGTGCCACCTGCCTTGGAGCCAGCTGATTATGGACAGCATCCTCCACAAACTGTGAGCTAAATTAATCTCTCCTTCCTTAGTTTTGGGTGTCAGGTATTTGGTCTCAGCAGTGAGAGAAAAGTAACAAAGACACCCTCCAAATACCAGTTTTCTTGTTTGTGAAATGGGAATAATAATACTGCATCTACCAGTGAAGTGGGCAGCGCTGGCCTGTTGCAGTCTTTCACAGAGGAAGACAGCTCAGCAAGGCCAAGGGCCTTCCCTGTGGGCCCTTCCCCAAGTTATTTTCCAATACTGTGCCTTGTTTAAGACCTTCCTCCCTCAGGAGCTCAGTGATTGGTCTTCCCTGGCGCTTGTGCTTGCACCTGAATAGCTGAATCATGTAATCTAGAAAAACTTGATGAAATGTGGGTAACGTGCCTCTGATTGTCTCAGTCAGAGTCTCGGTGCCTCAAGGGCAAAATGTGTGTTTATTTCTTTTAAAACAATAGATGATGATGAGGGAAAAGCATTGAATAGTACAAAAAGGTGGAAAACGAGAACTAGAAGTCATCAAGCCTCCATTTCCATTTTCTGGAGGTGGGCGTTGTAGCAGCTTTTGTCAATGTTTGTGAACTCATATATATAAATGAATCATATATAGGAATAACAAATGAATATAATTTGTATAATTATACAAATCATCTATATTATCATTGATCTGTATGAGGCCTATCTGCCCATATATCCTCCATCTATTCATTTATTTATTCCCATTTCACACCTCCATTTCCTTCAGCTTTCATGGACAGCCATTCTAATGTGATATATGTATATGATTTTGGGGAGTTATTAAATGTGATCATATTAATATACATGGGGTGATCAAAGTCTATGGTGTCTAAATCAGGGAGTCTCTTTCTGTCCTACTCCCTGTCTGTGGCTATGTCCTGTGGCTGCCTCTCACCCCGTCCCTGAGAGGGTAACACTGGGAACCCTGAAGCTAAGCCTTCGGGCAACTATTTTGAGTCCCCAGTTCAAACACGGAACCACCTCTCAGAATGGCACCCAACCGTGCACTCTCTCCAGCAACATGGCAGGTGCCTGCGCTGGGATCACTTCTTGCTGTCACCGGCTATGTGGAAGGACTCCTGTTGAACCTCACACTGTCAAAATAATTGCCGGCCCAATCCACCACTGGCTTCACCACCTCTGCCACTTCTCCTCGGCGTTCCCCAGAGCCCTCAGTGTGCACCTTGCTTCCGCAGTCAGGCTGGGGAGGAAGACCAGACTGCTTTATTCCCTTTTCTGCATCATGTTCTGTCTCTTTAATGTCTCTGTAGCTTTGAATTTTCCTGTCAGTTCCCTTCTTGAGAATCTGCTTCTCTCTCTTTTCTTTCTTCCCCGAGTTATTTTCCAGTGTCTGGAGTCTGCATTTTTGAGAGACTGAACTGCTGTTCCTCATCACTCTGCCATTTTTGTACATTCTGTTTTTGCCACTTTCTGAAGCAGTTCTGAAAGTTTTCTTTTGTGAGTGTCTTTACAAGATCTGGTTAGAAATATGGTGAAGGCTACTGCTGAGTACCACCGAGTGGAAAGGCAGGCTGGTGAATACATTACTGTGTGCCTTCAGCCTCCTTATGCACTGGATCCAGCACGGGGTGACTTCTGTCTCTTTCCCAAAGTCAAAATGATCATGAAAGGTAAACACTGAATCAGTTCAGGACATTGAGGCAGCCACAACACACAGCTCTAAACATACTCCTGTGAGAAGACTTCTAACATGCTTCAGAAAGTAGAAAGAATGATGGGGTAAGTGTGTTTGGAGTAAGAGCATTTTGAGGGGGATTGATAGCAACCCGTATTTTACTATAATAATTTTAATACGTACTATAATTAAAAAAGAAAAAAAAAGCCTTTAAACATTCACCACATTTTTTATCACATATTATTTCATTAAAACAGAAATGAAAGTATATGTGTCTCTCTGTCTATATGATTATTCTATATCAGTACCTATAAAGCTGTCTTACTCTTATCAATAGCTGTGTAGTATTTAACTGCATGGAAATGCCACTCGTATCCCCCTATTGTACTTTGCTTTCTTATGTTGTTTTTATAAACAATGCTGCAGTGACAGTTTTTTCACAAGCACCTGTGCACATTATGGGCTTCTTTAAGGTAACTGTATTTCTTTTTTTAAGAACCTTTTTTTTATTTTATGGAAAAAAGGTAAAACAAAATTTCATAATGAGATGATAGGAGAATAACAATAGTTAGTACATTGCACATTGTTCTGTTCAAAGTAGGTACTCAGAGTATAAGATATGGGCATAAAAATTCTCCAATAGATAGAAGTGCACACCTTCCTTTTCTACAAACTAAGAGGCACTGATAGTATAACTAACTTGAATTTTTTCTCTTTTCCCTTCTTTCCTTTCTTCTTTCTTCCATCCTAGTTCCTTTCTCCTTTTGGACAATTTCTTCCCATTTCACAATATCGATTGTATGTTTTAGACTTCATTTATCTTTCAGTTTCTCACATCAGGGAGGCAGTATGATGTTTACATATGTGAATCTGATTTATTTCACTGATGAGTATGGTCTCAAGTTGCATCCATTTACCTATAAAAGTTTCCAGTTTATCCGTCTTTATGGTTGAGCAGTACTCCATTGTATAAAAAGACCACATCTTTTTTACCCATTCCTCCGTTGATGGGCATTTGGGTTGTTTCCAGGATTTAGCTATTAAAAATTATGCTGTTGGGGCTGGGGATTTAGCTCAGCGGCAAAAGCGCCTGCCTGGCAAGCGCAGGGTCGTGAGTTCGGTTCCCGGTACCAGAGAAAAACAAAAACAAACAAACAAACAAAAAAAAACAAAAAAATAAAAATTATGCTGCTATAAACATGGCTGCACATATATCACTGTGGTATGATGTTTTTAATTCTTCTGGGAAGATACCCAGAAGGGGAAGAGCTGGGTCGAATGGCACCCCTAATCCTAGTTTTTTGAGGGATCTCCAAACTGATTTCTGCAGTGGTTGCACGAGGCTGCACTCCCACCAACAGTGGAGAAGGTAAGTAGCTAATTTTGAAATTGATTGAATGATTGTAGTGCTTGAGCTCAAACCCAGGGTCTTGCACATGTTGGAAAAGTGCTCTACTATTGAAGTATATGCTTTCCAAGAAGATGGAGAGTAGAATCCCAAGTCTTTTGGCAACAAATGAGAACTCTTTTCTCCAACTTGTTAGGCTTTGTTGCTATTTTAAAGGCCATAGGCAGGGGGTATAGCTCAGTGGTAGAGTACTAGCCTAGGATATGTGAAGTCCTGGGTTACACACACACACAGACACACACAGACACACAGACACACACACACACACACAGACACACACACAGACACACACACACACACACACCCATGGCAGACTGAGCGCAATCTATGCAGAGACATGGCAGGCCTCTTAAGTACTTTCTGGCAGGGGTGGACATCATTTCACTTACATCTCACCTACATTCCACTGGACAGAACTTAGTCTCATGACTGTACCTAATTGCAGGGGAAGCTGGGAAATGTAGTCCACCCATGTTCCACTAGAATCTTATAATTACAGAAGGCATGGCTAGTGTAAACTTTAGGTGGGCAGACCCTACCTAATTGGCAAGTTGTTGAATTGTATCCCAAGGTAAATGTAGGGTTGCAGAAGGACCCACTTATACATTTGACAGCTCCCCCTCACAAAGCTCTCTGGAGGCGGTGTTGCAGGGGGCGTGGAAGGGTTCGCTGAGGACCCCCAATAGGCCTTGCTCTGGACTGAGTGCTTCACCTGCTTTCTTTCTTCACCATGATCCTGCTAAGTGAGTTCCCTGAACCTCATATAAATAACAAAAAGTTTAACGTGAATGGACTTACTCAGGGCAGAGGATTCAAATCCATGTCTGTGTGATTGCAAAACCCGACCCTTCCCTTCCACAGCTCTGGCCATGGCAGTGCACACTGCAAACACTGCAACTGCTGTCTCGGCACCTCACCTTGCCTTGCCCTTCTTAGGGTGTACAGACCATGCAGCCTCATGCACCTGCCCTAACTTGGACTCTCTTCTCATTTCCCAGGCCCTCTTTCAGCTCCTTGGCCAGCTGCGGTGGCCTTGGTGGCACCCTACCCCAGTGGTCAGCCCAGGGCTTCTCCCACCCATGCAGTCGCCAGCTGCCACTGCCGAGGGCTTCAGCGGCCCACTCTTTGAGACCTACACACTCCCCACCTTCAAGTTCCAGCCTCGCCGTGAGAGCATAGACTGGAGGCGCATTAATGCTTTGGATGTGGACCGTGTGGCCCAGGAGCTGGACGTGGCCACTCTGCAGGAGAACATCGCTGGTGTTACCTTCTGCAACTTGAACCAGGAGGTGTGCAGCCGCTGTGGGCAGCCCGTGGACCCGGTACTGCTCAAGGTGCTGCGCCTGGCACAGCTTATCATTGAGTACCTGCTGCACTGCCAGGATTGCCTGAGTGCCCGTGTTGCCCAGCTGGAGGCACGGCTGCAGGCCAGCCTGGGCCAGCAGCAGCGTGGCCAGCAGGAGCTGGGCCGCCAGGCTGATGAGCTCAAGGGCGTACGGGAGGAGAGCCGCCGGCGTCGAAAGATGATCAGCACCCTACAGCAGCTGCTAATGCAGACAGGTGCCCACAACTACCATGCGGTGAGCAATTTTTGCAAGGTGGGGAGAGCAGAGGGCCAGGCACCCCAGCTAGGAGGCCAGCTGGCCAGCACCACTGAGCCACTCACAAGGCTTCTAAGGGCCATTCTTACTGGTTAGAAACATTTTAGAGATGCTGCATGTGGCCAAAAAGCCTGTGTGTGTGTGTGTGTGTGTGTGTGTGTGTGTGTGTGTGTAAGACTGAAGTTATGGATGTGTGTAGGGATTTATACGTGAATGAATGAAGGATAAATAGTATATATGCCTAAGAATGTGTGTATTTATAGAAGGTGTGTGTGTGTAGAATCAGTGTATGTTGAAACAATAGTGGAGACAAGCCCATTTTGGAAAAGTGACTCCACTGTTCAAACAAGTGATGGTTCATTATCCAGAGTAGCACTTGAGTACTTGAGCTTCTCTCCATAGAAAGTGTGGATTGACGTTATGGTTCAGGTCTAAAATGTCCCCCAAAAGTCTTACGTTCAGAGCTGGTGCTTTTGAAAGGTGATTGGTCATAGGGGTTCTGAAACGTGCGATTAGGAGGTGGGGCCTGGGTCACTGGGGTGTGACCTGGGAGTACTCAGGTGGGCAGCCCATGGACCCAGTGAACACTCACGTGTGTTCTTGTCCAGCTCCTCCCTTCTCTCTCTGCTTCCTGGCCGCCATGGGGTGAGGTATGTTTCTCTGCCATATGCCCCCTTTTCCCCATGGAAAAACCATGATTTTTCCACTCAGGAGCAAACTATGAGCCCAAATAAACCTTGCCTCTTCTACATTGTGGGTGTCAGCTGTTTTGTCCCAGCAATGAAAAATGGACTAATACAGTTGGGAACATTTCAATAAATTTTCATGGTTGCCAGGCCTTGGGCCAGGCCCTGAGGCTGTAAGCGCAAGTCAAAGTGGTTTAACTTTTCAAGAAACTTAGTTTGGTGTTGAATGGACAATCTGTGTCTTCTCCCAAACTTCTGATACCAGATATGTGGATTTCCCCCTCTACACTAAACAATTCTTCAGAACCAACAAGTGTCTTTCAATTCAATTCAATCCCGACACTATTTTCCTGGAGACAGTGTCAGGTCCCACATAAGACTGGTTCCCCTTCAGAGGTCAGTCACCGGCCCTGGGCCTCCTGTACTGCTGTGTCTAGCACAGCTCTTGAAACTCCAGAGGGAGGCCAGTCGGGGAAGAAGAAAGACGGGAATCAAATGCAAAAGCTGAGGTCAGGTGGAGCCCTCTCTCCTGGTGGAGAAAGGAATGGCCCAGCATCTACAGTGCATTTATTTGTACTATCACTGTATGAATAAGTTTATGGAGAGTTAAAGGGGAGTGTAGAATTTGGGACAGAAGGAAAATCTAATCTGTTAGCAGAACAGCATGCCTTAGTGGCTTCATGGGAAACAATTGGTGGCTTCATGGGGACAAGAGAAACTTATCTGTGTTATCTCAGGCAAAGGTCAAGTCACTGTGTGCATCATCTTCCTGAGCTGTGCACACTTCTCATGGGGCCCTGCCAAACTCATGAGAAGCAGTGGCCTTGTCCTAGACACCCAAGGTATAGGCAGCTTCGCTCCCAGCACTGTACTCCTCGGGCTAACTAGTAATACATAGAAGGTTCCTGAGATATGGTTCTCAGGTTCAGTAGTTTGCTGGAATGGCTCACAGAACTCAGCAGGAAACTTTATTCCTGGCTTATTACAAAGGATGCAACTGAGAAGAGTCAAGCAGAAGACGTGCACATGGCAAAGTACATGGGCCCCAGCATTCCAGTGTGTTCACCAACCTGAAGTCCTCAGAATCAACCCCACTATTTGCAGTTTCAAAGCATATTTTGCCATGCAGGCTGAATCAGTTAAGTCATTGGCTATTGTGATTAAGTCAATATCTGTGCCTTTCTCCTCTCCAGAGCTCAGGTGGTCAGGTTTCAAGTTCTGACCATTCAATCCTACCTTGACCTTTCTGGTGATCAGCTCCCATCCTAAAGCCATCCAGGGGCTCTCAGCCACCAGTCACCTAAGGATACAAAAGATAGTTTGTCACCGCTGAGAGTCCAAGGAGCCTAGAAGGTCTTGTGTCAAGAACCATGTGCTAAGATCAAAGAGTATTACAGAAGAAGCTATCATTCTTATTGCTTAAGAAATTACACGGCTGTTAGGAGCCAGGGATGGAGGCCAAATATATATTCTTATCATACCTCAGCATCACAGTTGGACAAAGGAATCCCAATGATGCAGCATTAGTTGATAAAATGGTAATTGAAATATTGTTTTTGATTTAAAAGTCAGAACCTCTTCAGTAGTTAGTGACAAAACAACAGCCTAAAGTTGGGTGTCATGACACACACCTGTAATCCCAGCACTTGAGAGGTTGAGGCAGGAGGATCGCTGTGATTTTGAGGCCAGCCTGGGCTACAAAGTGAGCTCAAGGCCACCCTGAACTGCATAGTGAAACTCTGTCTCAAAAAAGACAAAAACCAAAACAACCCCACCAGCCTAACCTGGTTAATGCCTGGAGGAAATTTACTGATTAACTTAACTGAAAAGTCCAGGGGATACAGAGGACCTCAAGTCTGGCTTGTCCTAGGCATCAGATGAAGTCGCCAGAATCTAGCTTCTCTTTGCTGTATCCATTTGGATTAGGGTTTGACTGTGAGTGGCAGAAAAACTCAGATCATTTATTTAAACCAGATAGAAGGTTATTTCTGTTTTGCATTAGCAAAGTCTGAGTGTAAGCAATCCAGGTCTGGTGTGTAATGGCACAGGTACTAGGGACACAATTCTTTATGTGTAGCTTTTCTAGTCTCATCATGTGGCTTCTACTTCATTGCCTAAGATGACATCCCGGGTTGCAGCTCTCAGGGCCACCACTCAGCAGGAGGAGAGGGTGAGAAACGGCACCACTCTTTATAAAATCCCCTTTTGCTCTGACCAGCTAGCATAAATGTGCTGAGTTGAATTCTGAAGTTTGACTGTGAAAAGATGATAGGATAGACAGACTACATCTGCAGCACCTTAGGAGAGAGAGGTAGAACTACAGACACTGGTTATTTGCTGTCCTCTGCCTGTGGTGTTCTGAACCCTGGGGTGAAATCTAGACCTTTTTTGGGGGGCAGTGCTGGGGACAGAACCCAAAGCCTCACACATGCTAGACAGGTATTCAATCACTGAGCTACATCACTGGCCCTGAGATTGGTATTTTTAAATCAGAATTTTTATTATGGAAACCGAAACATATCCAGAGGTAGAGAGGGGAATATAATGAACCTTCACTTGCACACTGCCTAGCCCAGCCGCTCTCAACTCACGGCCAGTAGTGTCGCATCTATTTCCCTGCCCACTTTCCCCACTCCTAGACGGACTTGAATCACATTAGCCATATGACTGTGTCTGTAACATTTCAGGATGTGTCTCTAAAAGCAAGGGTCCCCCCTTTTAAACAAAAACACCACAACATCACACCCTGAAAAAATCAACAGAAATTCCTCAGTATCATCAAAGAATCAATTTTCATAGTTTCCCAGGACAGTGGTAGTGTTTTGATTTGATATCGCTGCCTTACTCAGTAAATCATGGTTTTGATTTTTTTCTTTTTTTTTTTTTGTGATGCTGAAGATTGAACCTGCGGCCTTGCACATGCTAAGCATGTACTTTACCCACTGAGCTACGTCCCCAGCCCTTCAAGTTCTTTATATTTTCCAAGCAATCCAGGAGTTCCAAGGGAAGGGGTTTCGATAAAGGGAAAATCCCAGGCTGACTCAAGGGATCTAATCTCATACTCCCTATTGTGTTTCCTCTGTGTAGTGCCACCTGTGTGACAAGACGTTCATGAACGCCACCTTTCTGCGGGGCCACATCCAGCGCAGGCATGCAGGCAGTGCAGAAGGTGAGTCCAGGCAGCAGCTGGGAACCCTGCTGGGACTGTGGAAAGGCCTGGGGCTTGGGCACTGGGCGGGGGGCAGTACGCCATGTGTGCCCAAGCCTGCCCTCATCAGTTAGTTGAGGATGGAGCGATCCCACCATTCACGAAGGGGGATCCCAGATGGGGCTGGAAAAGTTTTGACCACTTGTATGGAGAAGAGAACTTCACCTGGTTCCACGTTGCATCCTCAGTCAGATCTTTGTTTCTGAATTTCTGTGGCTTTGATTGTGAATGGGATAGTCAGATAGAGGAACTTTGAAGGGCCCTTACCTCCTAGCCTTCTGTGAATCTGCAGTTCTCTGCAGCTAGCTACGAATAAGCTTTAATGGGGTAAATGAGCAGTCAAACCAGTTCTTTGGCTTTCCTATGTACCTGAGCTTATCATAACTTAATCACTTTGTTTAATTTTACCATTTCAAATTCTATCATGAGTAGCAAGGCTATACAGTATGTTGCTCCCTCAAAGACATTTTCATACTTGATATCTATGTTTTGAGATCCAATGGGAATATCTCTAAAATAAAATAAATGTATAAAACGTTTAAAGAAACCTTTTTCCTATTGTCCATCATTTCAATTCCCTTTTCAGAAGAGGTTTTAAAATGGTATCACTTACCTTGTTACCGTGCATTTTGTATACTTAATTTTTGTTGGTTCTGCCCTGGGGGCTAAGGAGAAATAAATTTTCCATGTCTTAAATACTTGTTTTCTAACAAAAATATGTCTCTGATACAGAAATGACATTAGGTTTTCAAACATCTTTAAATCATCTTTGAAAATGTGATTTTTAATGGCTAAATAGTATTCCACCATGTGATGATCATAATTTATGTCATAATGTCCTCCCACTAAATATACATATTGGTTATTCAGAATTTTCCCTGTTACACAGCACATTTCTTCCAAGCCCTTATTTTTTCATTTGAAACTTAACACTGTACATGTAAATTATAGTACATTATTTTAAAAAGTGACCTGAAAGCTCAACTATTTTCATTCCTTAACTTGCAGTGGTGTGTAGGTATGTTCTTTGCATTGATGGTCGGTGTATGTTTAGTATCCCATTTCTGGTTTTTTTTTTTTTTTTTTCCTCCGGTACCGGGAACCGAACTCACGACCTTGCGCTTGCCAGGCAGGCGCTTTTGCCGCTGAGCTAAATCCCCAGCTCCAATATCCCATTTCTGTTACTCTAGTAATTTTGCATTTCTGTGTGCCAGGACTGTCAAAATACTTCCTTTAAATGGCAGGACATTGAAAAGTAAACCAAAGAACCATAATATATTCTACCTTTAACTTTTTGTAAACCATGTTTTATGGATAACTTCAGTTTTACCAAAAGGCTGACATATTTTGATATTTTGTAAACATCACTATTAACTTTGAGTTGGCAGAGGCAACCCAACCAGCTACCATTATATTTGGTACTAAGAAATACACCTTTCAATGGAATTATTGAAATACAAAAAAAAAAAAAAATGGCAGGACAATGATAGTTCATATTTATTGAGCTGTCCTGCCAGGCACTGTGCTGAGCATTTCGTATTGTCACATTTCATCCTCGAAAAGCCTTTCTGAGTTGGGTGCTGTTACAATCTTTGTTTTGCAGTTTGGGGAAGCAGAGGCACAGGGAGGTAAGTCCTCTCCCACCATCAATAAACTGTGTGGGCAAAGCTTTTCTCAGACTGAGGTCTGACTGCACACGTGAGAAACTTATACTCCATCACCTTGTATTTTCCCTTGCCACGGCCACCAGGAAAGCAGAAGCAGCAGGAACGGCCAGCTGAGGAGCTCGTGGAAGAGCTGAGAGCCAAGCTGAGGAGGACTGAAGGGGAGCTGGAAGCCCAGAGGGAGGCCGAGAGGCGGCGCCAGCTCCAGGTGGGTACGGAGGGGAAGCGTCAGAGAGACTCAGGGCTACCCAGACTACCATTCACATGGATCCCACAGGGCTTGAGTTCCAGCTGGTTCGCTAGAGCTGGGAGCTGGAGCTGGAGCTAGACTGCCACCTTCTTGGATGGGGCACATGATTTTAGGGAGTCTGGGCAGGAAAAAAATCAACTTATTTTGCCAGACCTGTGTGATCAAAAGTGGAGCAGAGAGCTGCCGTTTCCTGTGTTAGTCAACACTCACTGAAGGCATTTGAGCTTGAATTTCAACTTCTTGTACTGCGTGGTTGGTTGGCTTTTTGAGGAAAAAGAATGGGTCTGATTCTGAACCCCAGAACCAAGGCTGGAGGAAACTTCCAGTAAATGTAGAATGAAAATAATGAACCTGTCCTGTTCATCCCTGAATCTACCCACCATTCATCACCCCAGCACGCAGCCACGGAGCAGCAGCCGTGCCAGGCAGCGTGAGGAACAAGGAGAGGGAAGATAAGTCCTTACTCTCAGGGACTGTATGATTTCGATAAGGTAGGCCACTCCGAGGCCAAGTAACCGGACCATGGGGTGAATGTTTCCCAGTCTCCACAGTGACGCGCTTGGCAGGTTGCTGTAGCAGGTCTTCAGCAAATATTTGCTCTAATGTGGGATTAACGATTCAATTGTTCTTGCTTTTTTTTTTTTTTTTAAGGAAGCAGAGATTACTCGTCAGAGGGAAATAGAAGTGAAGAAAGAATTTGATGAATGGAAAGAAGAAGAGCGGACCAAGCTTTACGGAGAAATAGACAAGCTAAAACAATTACTTTGGGATGAATTTAAAACTGTCGCCAACCAGAACTCTACGCTAGCAGAGGTGCTCAATATGAAAAGCTTCTCCAAGCTTTGCTTGCTGTTGAAAACCTGCTTATTTGTTCTCGAAATTCATTCTTTAGTCGGCACTCGTTATATCTCCTCTGCTGTTGGAGCTGAGACATTGTGAGGCCAGAAACCAGAGCCAGAGCCTAGAGGAAGCTCACAGAGCTCTTGCTTACTGGCTGTGTGACCTTGGGTGAGCTGCTTAGCCGTCCTGTGCCTCAGTTTCTTTCCTGTAAGACAGGTTGCTGAGCTTGAGCTTGCAGTCTCCTGCCTCAGCCTCCCTGAGTGCTGGGATTATAGGTGTGTGTTCCCGTACCTGGCTGCAGTTTCTTAAAGCTGTAATAGGGCTTACATGTTTTATTCAGTAAAGATGGGTTTTGTTGTTTTTGTTACTGCAGTATTGATATACACATATATATTTAAAATAACCATAGATGGGTGGAAAGCCATCCATTCTGTGGTCAAATTTTTTGTGTCTTTCCTGCAGGTCACATACTGATAATAATCCAGGAATTATCAGGAATTGTGGTGTGGCTCTGAGCGGCGCAAAGCCAATCTTTCTGGTGACAGCCAGGATATTTTTGTGAGGAAGGGGCAGGAATCCTCGGGGAGTAGCCTGGGGTGCCTGAGGGTCTCTAAGTGGCTGGTTCTCTGCAGCTTGCTCTGGACTGAGGAAGAAACGGGGCAGCAGTCAGAGGAATTGGGCGTTTTGAGTGTAGCAGAGTTTAAGTGGAGTTGAAAGAACACATAAATCCTGTTCTTCCATGGCAACTCACTTTTGCGAGTGCTGAGCCCTCAGGAGAGCCCTGGAGGGAAATGCTCATTTGTGTGCGTGTTTGCAGGTGCATAGGTTTAGGGGGGAAGAGTTGGGAGGCTGTGGTTCAGGCAAGGTTCGCACTTCCAACACTGTTTTCAGGTGAGGTATAAACATCAACATCAGGCCTAGATCTGGCCTAGATCTTCATCTAAATAAGAAGGTGCCTGGCTTTTCCAGAAACTGCAGGCTCTTCAGTCCCACACTGTGACGGAATCCAACCTCGGGTCACTGCGAGATGAGGAGTCTGAGGAGCGACTCAGGCAGGCACAAGAGCTCCAGGCCTTGAGAGAGAAGCTGGAGACTCAGGTGAGCTGATGCTCCATGCCGTTCTTCACAGAGCAAGCCAGGAGCCTTGTTATTCCCAGAAAGGCCAGTCATCTTTTCTCTGTGGACTTGGGAAAGCTGAAAGACATCAAAGCTCTGTATTTTCAGACCTTTGTGCCAGTGCATGAAAACATAGAGTAAGACTCTCAGGTGAGGCTGGTATAAAATATCCAATTCTCCTGAGATCTTTTCTAAAATATATACAAACCCATATGAGTTTCTTATTTGGCTCTTTTGTCATCCTTTCCTTCTAACCCAGTGGAAAACCATTCAGGAAGTGTGACAGTGTCCTAGGATTTGAAGATATTTGGGCTGGATCCTGGGGTAAATGTTTAGTAATCAGCTCCTGGACCCACAGGCTTTGATTTGTAGCATGTATCAGTTTCTGTGCTGTAAATACCTCTTCACGGCACATTCTATGCTATCAGTGTGAGGTCACTGAATGAAGCCAGGAAATCTTGTACACAATATGCTGTCATGGGAGGTGGCTGTGGCCACTGGTGGAGGAACCTTGCTCCAGGCCCATTATAGGTGTGTTGTATCATTGATACATGAGGGGGGGGAGCAGCTGTCACAGTCATTAGACAATGCTGTGTTTCTGTCTACTGTCCAAGGAAGTTGACGAAGAGCTTCTGGTCTGGCAGCTGTAAAGGGTTTGCAGTTCTTTTTTCTGTGAACTCTTTTCACAATATTTGCGTATTTTTCCTTACTCATTCATAAGTTTGTGTAATGTGTGGGAGTTAACCCATCCCTTCGTTGTTCTAGTTGTGGCTCTTTCCCCCAGTTTTCTTTTTTTTTTCTTTTTTTTGGTTTTTCTCCGGTACCGGGAACTGAACTCACAACCTTGCGCTTGCCAGTCAGGCGCTTTGCCACTGAGCTAAATCCCCAGCCCCTTTCCCCCAGTTTTCAATTAGTCCTTTAATTTTGATTATTGTGATTTGGCCATAAAATAGAATGTTTATGTGCTCAAAATGATCCAATTATCCTTTCTTTCTTTCTCTTTCTTCTTTCTTTCTTTTTTTTTCTTTTGGTGCTAGGGATCAAACCCAGGCCTTGTGCATGCGGGGGAAGGACTCTACCACCGAGCTGCATCCCCAGCCCTCTCTTTTTTAAATGGCCTTCTTCTGAGATTTAAAAATATATATATTCGTATGTGTTCTTTTAGGACCTTATTTTGATGTTTAAGTCTTTGACCCAGCTAGAATTTTCTTTGGTTAAGGCACAAGGTAAGGATCCAGTTCACAGTTTTTGTAGGCAGCTAGGACTTGTTCAAGCACCTTTAGGCCATAATCTATCTCTCCATTCCCTCAGCTGAGTTTCCATTTTCTTTCCTCTCTGTCTGAGCCTTCTGTTCTGTCCCACTAGTCTGTCTGCCTAATCATGAGCCATTACTTTTTAATTTCTGTGGCTTTATAATACATATTCATATCTAGAGGGGTCCATTTAATAAGCCATTCATCTTCTTCAGAAAACAGAGTGGAAGAGAAAATTGAAGGAACTGCAAGAAGAGCGTGTGACAGAGAGGAGAGAGGTAACTGTACTCATGACTCCTGTCTCTTCTATCCTTGCTGGAGGTGGTTGTCAGATATTTTGTTGCTGATACTGTGCCTGGCTGCTGGCTCCCATCAGTACACAGAAGGGAGCAGTTCTGTGGCCAGCAGTTTCCCTGGCCGGAAGCAGAGCCCTCCAGCCTTGTGTGCTGAACACCAAACACCCTCTAAGTGCTCCCTGCTGCAGGCTCTCTTGTGCTTTAAGCCTTGGATGAATCATCTGGTGGTTTCATGTTTGGGCTCTCTGAAAAGCCACCTTAGAGAGAGCCAGGTGGCATAGACCTTGCTGATGTCCCACAGAGCAGCAGGCATGTGGCAAAGAAAACTCTTCCATACAAATGCCTGGAAGGGGAGGCAAGTGGAAGGAAGAGCCAGGTAACAAGGGCTCCATACCCTGCCTGCAGAAAGCTTGGAGGATGACAAGGTTAGATCAGAGCTTGACACACGCAGACACTTTCTCCTGCTCTGTTACAGTGATACACGATTTCCAAGTGATGGTTTTATTTCATTTGAAGCATTGTCAGATGGGAAATATATTCAATTTGTTCCAAAAGCAGGACAAACGCTTTGAGGTACACTGAGTAAAGGCACTCCTACCTGACCCTACTCCCTCGTGGTCGCTCCCACCTGTCAATGACGTGTGTTCCCTTCTGCATTCTGCTACAGTTTTATGCAAATGTTAATAAATAGGCTTATTTTATATCTGCTCTTCTGTCAGAGGTAGCATGTTAACACATTTCTTCACTTCTTGTTTTTACCCTAAAACATGCATCCAGTGGTTTTTGAATGGTCTCAGCCTCCCCCTATGGCCCTCGGTGGGTGGCCACATCTGACATAGCACCCTCTCTCTTGGTCTGAGGACCCTGATTCCATTCTTGCTCCTTCTCAGGCACAGTTCAAACATTTGCCCAAATAGCAAGGCACTAATCTGGTTAGAGAGCTGCCTGCCTAGGTTAGAAACCCCCTACCCTGCCCCAAGTGAAACCCTGCAGGGGTCCCGGAAGACATTTGACTGACCACCATCCCATGCCCACCAGCTACAGGAGGAGAATGAGAGGCTGCAGGCGTCCCTGTCTCAGGATCAGAGGAAGGCGGCCACCCAGGCCCAGCGCCAGATCAATGCCCTCCATGCCCAACTGCGGGAACAAGCCAGGCTCATCGCCTCGCAGGAGGAGAAGGTATGTCTGTCCTCCAGCCAGCCGGCCCCTGCCACCCTTAAGTCTCTTCTCTGTGGGGACTGCTGTGGCTTCTTGGGGGCCCACTGGTCCTAATTTCAGTAGGGTCTGAAAGGAGGGAGGAGTCCTCAGCACGAGAGGCACAAAGTGAGGTAGTTGTAGATGCCTCCTTCCAGGCAGAAGAAGTGATATTTTCCTTAGGGGCAGCTGGCACATGGATTCACTGCAAAGGCAGAGACCATGGAAAAGGCCCGGCCCCTGGTTGATAACTGCTTATTATCTCATTGAAGCCTCACTCCTGCCCTTTGGCATAGCCATCGCTTTCCCCCATCTTCATTGGGGAGTCTGATGGGATAATGAAGTCCAGTGCCTTGCTCAAGTCTGCACGAGGCACTGTGCAAGTGACAGAGGTGGGGTTCAACCCAAGCCAGCGGGGGGCAGTTTGTGCTCTTTATACTGCGTCCTCAGACTTAATTTCTTAACCAACCCCTTTCCCATAAATGGATAGCCTGAGGCGAGCTTGATAGAGAAACCAGCCTGGTGAAAAGTTGCTTACTCAGTAAGTGCCACTCTCCTAGAATCAGCCCCTGTGACTCTTCTCTATTCTTGATCATTCTCCTCCCATCCCAGGCTCAGGGCTTGTGGAAAACTCTTGAGCCCCAGGTTTGTGGGAAACTCTTCCCCCTCTGGGGTCCTCCTGGTGGACTTGCTGTTATTCTAACACTACCCACCTCATGGACCAGCCTCCACATAGCTCCTCTGGGCTTCAGAGCCACTGTCACTGTATTCTTCAGTCTTCCTGTCCTGCGCTCCTTGCTAGTTGAGCTTTTCTTCTCTGCCATCCCACTGCACTCAGTGAAGTATATCCATTGCCCCCCACCACACATACCTGGCCTTTCACTGCTGTGGCCACTTCGGGTCTAGCCTGGAGGATTCCTCTTACATTTCTTAAAACTCTTTTCTGCAAATGTTTCATTTAGGAACCCTTTGGCTAAAGATGATAAAATGAGTTAATACCACCCGGTTTCAGATGCTGTGGTTAGCATCAAAATTAAGTCTGGAAATCCACACTCTGTCTTTATCATATTTAATGTGTGGAATTTTGTTCTGATGCTCAACTCCCACAGTTACAGGATAGCTTCCATAGCCCAGCCTTCACAGTCGTATTTAAGTCCTCTTTCTAAGATTTCTGCCAATAAATTATTGTCAAATCTCTGCTACTTGGGAAGCTACAACTTCAAGGAAGACTAGGAGAGTGTAAAATTGGCTCTAGTCTTTAGAACAGAGGTAGACAAGAAAGAAAACATTGCAGATGGATGCTGGGTGAGTCGTACATCAGTATATGACACAGTGGTAATAACAAAACCCAGTTTTAGCTGAAGCAGCAGAGGGAATGTGTGGCCCAACGTAAGACAGAGCATCTCACAGAGCTCAAGGTAAGGATGCAACAGTCAGAGAATAAACTGGGACCAGATACATGAGTGCGGTCAGAGATTTCCTTCTTCTATGTGCCTCTGTTCCTTTCTCTATATCTGCTTCAAGTTTTAATTTTATTCTGAAGGTCTGCTCCTGCTTATTATTGGTTCCTTGTGGCAAAACAAACAAACCAAGAAAACCAATAACCATCGGCTGCCCACAGCTTCCGACTCACTGCCAGTCTAGAACTCTCCATGTAAACCTGGACAGTCAGACATGACTGTGGCATGAGGTCACACAGGTCACAAGTGGCTGCCTGGTCTGCAGCCACGTGGAAGGAGGGAGGAGGAGGTGCTTCTTTGATGCCTACATCTTGCTTCCTGCTCTGTGTCTGGCCTCATCCTCAGGTCAGATGCCTGCATTATGGAGCCAGGTAGAGGAGCCATGCACTTTGTCAGGTACTACAGATTCCTTGTCCTACTACACTACCCCCACTAGCCTCTACCTGGCTCTGGCTGTTTTCTATCAACTATACCAATAGAACTCACTGTGTGCTGTCCCCCTTTGCTTCCCTGGGGCTCCTGCCTCAAACTCACAAGCTTTCTTTGATTCTTATCATCCCATCTTGGAGAGCGGGAGCGGGCTGCCATCCTGGATTATTGCTATTCCACTGGGGCTCCATCGGTTTCACATACGACTGTAGGAGATGTTTTGAGGGCTGAGGTGGTGTAGCCCAGCTGCTTCCAGTTCCCAGTGGTGACATGGCAACCATGGCCATCCCTTCTTCACTGTGCTGGGCAGCCCCACTGCTCAGAGCAGAGTACCACAGTGTTCTCTGCTGGCTGTAACTTGCTCTGTTCTACCTCTTGCAGATCCAGACGTTGTCCCTCAGGAAGACAGAGCGTAAGTCCACAGGGGGTGGCTTGTGACAGTCTTGGCTATTGTCTTGGGCTGTTTTCTCTCTCATGGCTCAGTCAATTTATAGGTGGAGGACTGTTAACAGCAGTGCATGGGATATGTGTTGTCGGGCTGTCCAAAGGGACCTGCTGGGACAGATGGCATTTGTGCTTCAGGCTGTCCAGCAGCTGGAAGGGGTCTTGCCTGGTTTGCTCTTATTTGCACATGGATGGGAGTTGGACGAGGCATGAGGATCTTGGGGGTGTTGATTGATGGAGCGGGGTTCATGAACAGGCTTTCTCATTTACCATGCCTGTAGATTGACCGGCATAGTACCATTAAACACCCCTTGGATTCTATGCACTTTGTCAGGTACTACAGATTCCTTGTCCTACTACACTACCCCCACTATTTAGTGTGGAATGTGCATATTACCCTCCTTTTCTGGAAGAGGAAACTGAGGCTTAGAGAGGTTGGAGGATTTCTTATTTCTCGCAAGAGCTGGTGAGGGCAGAGCTGATTTGCGATGTGAGCACCGATCTTTCAGCCTCCCGTGCCTGTGGTTGTGACCACTGCTTTATTCTGCCTCTCTGAAAAAGATGGATCTCCGGGAGGACTTGCTTTTTCTGGCCAGAATCGACCTGGGGTCCTGCACTTTTCTCTAAGTCAGGGATGGAATCAGGGTAGTGGATCCACTAGCTGTTTCTGCTCTTTTCAGGGATCCAAGAGCTTCCCAAGGCTGTGGACACAGAGGAGGACTCTCCGGAGGAAGGTGGGTCTTTTCATCTTTCCTGAGTGCCCAGTGTAGGACACAGAGTTGCTGTATTGTTTATTTGGTCCATACTTAACGGTAACTGGACCTCTGAAGCTAGGGTAGAGGGAACTAAAGATATGAAATAAATATTTCTTAAGTTCCTTGTATGTGCCAAGTATGTTACATGCAGTATTAGCGCACAGTCGTCTGGTTCACTGGTGGAGAAACTTAGACTCAGAGAGGGTCAGTAAGTTTCCCAGAGTCACAAAGCTAGCAGATGGCACAGCCAGGACCTGGAGAGAATCTAATCAAAGGCCTGGCCCTCGCACCTGCCCCACTGCCTCTCACCTGGCGCAGTTCGGAGCAGTGGAGAACTTGCTGCACTGGGCAGAAATGGCCTCCTTGTTTTCTTCTGCATTGAGAGTGCACCGCAGACAGACCCAGTGGGGCCTAACAAGGTGCGGGCGTCGGCCTTGCCGCCTCTTCAGAGCTCTGAGTGCTGCTGTCTCCATTCCCCTCCCTTAGTGACTGGTTCCGATCTGCAGAATTCTCAACCAGCTGTTGTGAGGTGATACTGAAGAGAAATAAAAACGGTAGACACACTCCCGACCTTTAGGAGCTCCAGGCTCAGTGAGAGAGAGGACACGCCCAGGAGAGACGAGGGAACACTCCCAGGGCAGCCTGTTGACCAGGGCCCGCCAGCTCCAGCAAGGCTGTGATAGGACAGTTCCCAAGTTACCTGGAAGACATACCCAGGGCGGGCCCTTCCTCCTGTCACCAAAGAGCTCATCGTGGAGTATTTTAGCTTTCAGTGTGGTGCCGTTGTGTATTTTTAAAGTTTTGAGGTGGTAGTACCCATGCACTTGGCAAAGAAAAAAGGGGACAGGGAAGAAAGGAAGGAAGAAGGAGTACGAAAGGGTGTCTAAAGGGAAGTAACTTTCCCTGCTGCCTGCCTAGCCAGGTTCCTTGCCAGAGGTTCTGCTGTGAGTGGTTTCTCTTGTAACCTTCCAGGAATTCTCTGAAAATATGAGCTCATAAGTGTGCCCAGTGTTTCCCTCCTTCTTTCCCAAGAAGAAACACATATGCAAATTGCATATATAAACACATTTGTAATTTGCTTATATACTTTTTCTTTTTATAAAATAGGGTCTTGTTATGCAGTTCAGATTAGCTTTGAACTCACTATGTAGCCCAAACTGGCTTTGAACTCAAAGTGATCCTCCTGCCTCAGCCTCCCGAGGCAGAGATTATAAGCGTGGTAGCCCACACCTGGTTTAAATTGCTTACATTCTTAACAACTTCGCTGGGGAACTATTCCGTATTTCTTTTATGTAGAACTGCTTCATCATCACCACCATCATCATCATTATCCTCTTCCTCTTCATTTGTACTTGGGATAGAACCCACCAGAGCTTTCACATAAAGCTACATCCCCCCCACTTCAACATTTTTTAAAATTTTAAATTTTGAGTCAGAGTCTTGCCAAATTGCTAAATTGCCCAGGCCAGGCTTGAATTTGTGATTCTCCTGCCTCAGCGTCCCAGAGTGCTGGGATTACAGGCATGTGCCTACACGCCCAGCTTGCTGCATTAGTTTTTTCAGGGTTTTGCAGTATTCTGTTGGATGGAGGAACCAAGGTTTATTTCACCACTTTTTCCTCCCTTCATTCAGTGCATCTAACCATGACATATAGTAATAAAAATTTGGATGACACACAACTTTGGGAAAAATACCTGTGTTCAACCTTCAGGTGGGAGGAACCAAATCCTCAAAGTTCTAGGGAGGAGTGGGCTGAAGTGGCTGGGTCCGAGGGGACCCCAGTGAGTCCCGTAGTCACAGTGGATGTTTCACTTGCCATCATGCTGCTGCACCTCCTTGTGTGCTTCTCTGCGTCCTCCTGTCCCAGACCAGCAAGCAGCAGTGTGATGAGGGAGCTCATGAGAAATGCAACTTTGCAGATCCTCAGGCCCTATCCCAGATAAATAGAAGCAGAAATTTCAAGGGCAGGACTCGTCAGTCTATGTTTTCTCAACCTCGAAGGCATTCTGATCTTGCTCAGGTTTGAGAACCGCTGTGAGACCAGTGGCTCTTTATAATTAGTTGCACATTAAGAATCACCCAGGAAGCTTGTAACTGCAGAGGACTGTGTGACACCCCCGCACTATCTGAAATGGACCAGATAGTCAGGGAGTAGGTTCTGGGCACCAGTAGCAGCTAAAGCTCCCTAGGGGATTCCAGTGGTCTGGTTGAGTGTGTGCCCCAGAACAAACTTTACTGAGCAGAATCACCTGGGAGGGGTATGGCGTGGGAGGTGTGGGGGCTTCTCCCAACATAGATTGATGGCTCCCCTGCAGATTTCAGATTCAGTAGGTTTGGAACGGGAGCTGAGAATCTGCATATCTCACAAGTTACTGGGTGATGTTTGATAGAGTGTCTAGGGAGTTTTTACAATAAGTATCAAGGTTTGGGACCCACCTTATATAATTAGAGTTTGGGATCGTTTCAGTGTGCAGCCAGCATTGACTTACCACCCTGATTGGGAGCTTTCTGGGAAAGAGAGATGCATTTCTGTCGCCTGTGTCCAGCCCTGGCCTGTTCACAGTCACCTGCTCAGAACTGTCTGTCGAGTGAATCGAAGGGCTTGGTGCAGACTAAGCATACGTGTTCCACATACCCTGAGGAGTACTCCCGAGAGGCTTCCCTGACTCAGCCCGGGCTGACCCTTTGTAGCAGTTGGCATTTTATTGTAATCACTTGTTTTGTTACCTGGTAGACTAATATTTCTTAAAGTGTGGTCTGTGGCTCACTCACGTCCTTCAAAATCATCTGGACATGTGAAAATGCATATTCCAGGGCCCATCCCCGGACCTGTAGGAGCAGACAGAGGGGGAGGGCAGGGCCAAGGAATGTGCATTTTAATCCAGGTGATTCTGAAACATGCTACAGATGGATGGGGAGTCCCTGATCTAGAGTGTAATCTTGAAGGGAACAGGAATCTGCCTTCTCTACTAATTGGCCTCCTGGACCAGAACAGCTGGGCCCAGTGAGGGTATCAGGTGGAGGCCAGGAGCTGGTATCTGGAGGGCTTGGAATCTGGGATCAGAAGGGGGCCCAAGGAACAAGTTGTTTTCAGGGCTCAATTGTAAACTCCCAAACTACAAGTTAACCTATAGCAGAACGGACTGAGCCCAGATCTGAGAGGTCCAGTTGTCAGGGGCAGGACTGCAGAAGGAGTCCATGGTGAGCCAGTGGTACCCAGAAGCAGAAACCCCCAGCTTCTAACCCAGGGGTGGACCCTTGGGAGAGGCCAGTGGCCCTAGGGTTCATAGGCTGAAACTCGAGATCATTGGCAGAGCAAGGGCCCCCCGGGAGCAGCAGGGTCTGGGAGAGGAGCTCTCAAGCAGGGAAAATGACCTGTGACTGTCTTGTGCTGCAGAGCTGGAGGACTCTCAAGATGAACAGCAGCATGTGCTGGCTGCTCTGCGGCGAAACCCACCATTACTGAAGCAGTTCCGGCCCATCCTGGAGGACACCCTGGAAGAGAAGCTAGAAAGCCTGGGTATACAGAGGGTGCGTTCCAAGGCTACTGTTCTAAGGGTCAGGAACTAGAACTGAGACATGAAGTGTTCTCAGACTGACCAGCCATCGATCGTTCTTTAGTGTGTGAACATGCTTGCCCTGTGCTCCTTCGTGGTCTGGGGAGGGAACTTCCCATTCACCTCTTAGCAGCAGCGTGCCTTCCTCTCTGTGTCCTTCAGTGGCTTCTTGTGGTGGCTTATGATGCCGGCCCACATCCCGACCGGTGGATGAGACCGCCTTTTGAGTCTCTGAATTTTCTGACAGAGGGAATGGAATGGAATGGCATCCACTCAATCTGACCTAAGGAAAGGTCTCTCTTGTATAAAGGTCCAAGTCAATTGCCTGTGGCACATGTGGCCAGGCCCACTCTGCAGGTGGCTGGGGGTGGGCAGGCCCTGAGAGCTATGTCTGCAACCATTAGCATTTGAATGCCATTGTGTTTAGCCAGAGCGTGCATGTTATCGTTAAAGGCATCCATTATTAAATAAAAGCACATCATTTCAATGTGTAAGAACAGGAAAAATGTAGACACATAAATGTAACTTAGGAAGGCTCCTCACTAAATCTGGACTGTTTTCAACGATTGCTTAATCTAGTCTCATCCCATGTTCAGACTTGAGTGAATCCTCATCTTGGATCCAGATGTCTCCCAAGCAGCCTCCCGTAGGCTCTGGGTGGATGCCAAAAACCCAAGCAACTTACAACAGTTGATTTTTTTTTTTCAGTTTAGTTTTCCAAGCACTCTTAGCCAAGGACAGCATGGCATGAGTATAGTGCTGGGGAGTACAAAGAGGAGCACGCCGTGGCCAAATCCTAGAAGTCAAATGGTGGGAAAGTGTGTCCCATCCGGGTCCTTCACGCCAGGATGTGGATGGGATTGTGACACAGCCCTTTGCGTCAGGCTGCTGTGCAAGTTTTTGTGGGGCTCCAAACCCTAAACCGTCACATTTTCAACAGTGGGTGAAGTCACTGCTCACCTTGCTCTGATCCCCATTGTGTCCCATATCTACCACCCCAAAACTATCACGTTCTGCTCACAGCGACTCCTTGGTCAGCTGCAGTAGGTGTGAGAAGCTTAGGGGAAGGAGAGGATCCTCTGCCTGCAAAGGTGAGCTTCTGTCTCCTCTAGGATGCAAAAGGAATCGCCGTTCAGACTCTCAGACACCTGGAGTCCGTGCTGAAAGCCCAGCGGGAGCAGAAGGCCAGGAAGTTTTCTGAATTTCTGCGTCTGAGGAAAAAGCTCATCAAAGAAGCCACCAGCAGAATGAAGGAGAGACAGAACGGGGAAGTGCTGTCCCAGCTCGATGGCCAGCCTCCAGGTTTGCTGGGCACAGGGCTTGCTCGGGGACTATGGCCTCTGAGGACCCCCTTTCTGCTAAGGCTGTCTGGCTGGAAAAGGGTGTAATCCGTTTCCCCTCAGAAGCATTGCCCCAAGGGGTGAATGAGTGCAAGAGTCCTCTGTTGGGAGAAGAGAGTCCAGAGCGGGGCTGAGGGCGCTTGTCCAGGGTCACTGGGGGCAGCTGGAGGAAAGCCAGGGCCAGAGCTTGTGGTCTGCCTGAGGTTTCCCTGCTCAGACACGGTACCTTGTAGCTTCAGTCTGCCCTGCTTGGTCTGCTACAGCCACAAGCTAAGCTTCGCAGCTATTCAGTATCTGGCTCTGCACACCAGGCAAGTCAGCATGGGAGACAGACCCAAGACCTGGGAGCATTGACGTCACAGGGGAGCAAATAGCAATCAAATGAAAACTCCCCTCACCTCTGATAGGCCCTGCTCAGAGCAGTGGCGTCCTCTGAGAGGCCGGGCTGGTTCTGCCTTCAGACAAATTCTCAGAGCTCAGAACTAGTCCCGGGGCCAGCTCAGAGCTGTTGCTTTGCACTTGTCCCTGAACCTGGGGGTTAAGGCCAGGGAAGGCCCTGTGCTGGAGGGAGATTAAAGTACAGGCACTGGGATCCTTGAGTCTTTGTCCTCGGAGACTTTATGGATTAGGGGAATTTTCCTTCCTAGGTTCAAGAGACTCCATTTCTAGAGGATTCCCAGGCTTAATGGGCTGCTGACTTGGAGGCTCCGTGCAGGGTTTCTGTGGGTCGGGCTGGCTCGGGCAGGGAAGTGCCCGGTGCCCTTCACATTGTCTCCCCAGGCAAGGACACATGTGCCCATAAGGAGGCTAATTCTGGATCTCATGTAGGGACAGATTCAGTGGGAGCTCGTTAGGCCAAGAGGTTTTGCAAAGTGTGGTCTGTGTATCCCTGGGGATGTGAGAGATGATTTCCGTAGTGCAGGAACCAAGCGTTTTTACATTTAATCTTCATTTTTTAAGTGAATTAGAAGAAGTATTCCTAACATCAATCCTGTGAGCTCATGGAAATTATTCCTTGCAGAATTATAAGGCAGTTATTTTTTATTTAAAAGTGCTGTTTCTTTAAATAAAAATGCTAAGTAGATAGCAGGACACTTGGTATGAGACTAGTTCTGGGAAGCTGTCCTATTTAGTTTAAACTTTTGTTGCAATATTTTTAAGGAGAGGGGCATTCTTATCATTACACAGACATCTGCCACAGAAGGATGTTTGTGCTGATTGCTCTTCTGTCTTTCGTGCTTGGATTTAAGCTTAAGTCCTTTCGGTCACTTGCTCAGATGTCCATTCTTTAATTCATCGGTCCACACCTTTACTTAGTACAACATTAGTTGAGGTAGACTTTGTGCCTGGGCCTGCCTCCTTCCCTGGGAAGGCATCCAAAATTACATGAGGGGATGGAGCCAGGCACAGTGGTGAGGCAGGGGAGCTCGGAGGAGGCCAGGGACAGAGACTCGGGGAGGGTGAACATTCCAAATACCCTTGGAATGCTGTCTTTCAAGAGAAAAGAAAGTGTCCAGGTGCCACTCTCTGGGACACGAGTCCCCGCTGCTGTCATGGGAAAGCCAGGAGAGCGTCCCCTTCCTTTCTCTTCCCTTCCCAAGCCTTGGGTCTGGGGCACTGAGGTGTGAGTTCAGATTACCATTCCCGTGGTGCTTGGTAGACCTCTCCTGGCGGCTCTGAGCCCATCTTCTCCTCCCAGGCCCCACGAGTGCTGTGCTAATGTTCCCCTCCTGTCCCTGCTAGGACCACGCCTCCTGTCTTGTGAACAAGGCAGTGGCAAAAGCCTGAGATTGACGACCAGGTTTGGTCTGTCGTTTTCCATGGAATCGTGGGCAGGTTCTTTAATCTCTCTCGAAGCCCCTGTAAAACAGGAGAACAGTACTGTTGGAAGAGGCTCAGAGAGCCAAATGGGTGTTTTGCTTGGTGTACACAGTACTTGTAAGCTCCTGTTATTTTCTCTCAGCAAGTCTGCCTTTGCCTTTCCCCTCCCTTCAGTTCTCTCTTCCCTAGAATGTCTACTTCTGAGTGGATGCGTTCTCTGAGAGTAGAGCATTTCAAGTTTTTGACCTTGAGCTTCTATAGTACGAAACATGTTTTACATTGTGACTCAATCCACATACGTAAATTTCAGGGACTTATTCTGACTCCTTGTGCTGCATTTTCTCTACTAATCTCCTTCCATAAAATATTGTTGGACTCCTCTCTCTGTAAAGGGTCTTGATGCAATTTGCAAAAACAGCCTGTTTACACTCTTGGGTGGGCACCGCCTTGTCCCAGCCTGCTTGTGGGAGGAGGCGGCGTGTGGCTCTGGCTGCTCCATGCGGTCCGGTGCCGACCTCTGGTGGCAGCAGGTCCTTCCTGCAAGGCTACCTACACTGGTGGGAGAGTAGTGGGGGAGGTGCCTTGGCGAGATCCACCTCAGGGCTGTGCGGCAGTGTCCTCAGCCCCCTGGCTTCTGTTGCTTCCCTGTAATGACAACATGACCCTGGGCCTCCCGGCTGCTCTTGGTCTCTGGTGTCCCAGCAGAAGGTTCCTGGGATGGGAGAACTGCTAAACCTACGGTCATCACACAGCACACGGAGAATGACTTGTCCCCCACAGTGTGTCCCATCTGCTTTCTACAATCTGTAAGGATTGAGAGCCCAGAAGGCCACTTTCTGAACCATTCCCTTCTGTGTTTCTAGCCAAAAGCCAGTGGAGCACACTGCTTACCAGAGAGGTCCGGCCAAAGACCGGGACCCTGCACGTGGCGTTGCCATCCAAGCTGGCAGAGCCATTCACACCAGCTCTTCAGAGCCGCAGCAGCCATGGCCCTGGCCCAACCCAGGTGTCTGCCCCGACTCCACGCCCCAGAAGGCACAGACCCTCCAGCACCCCTGTGCCCCAGGGCCCGGGGCTGAGGTGAGCCCTGGCCTCTGGCCTCTTACTGGACCTGAGGCAGTGGCCCCTGCTGCGGCAGCCCTTTCCTAAGCCCCTTCTGCAGACAAAGCAGGGGCAGAGCCGGATGTGAACAGGAGTGGGGCCGGTGGGGTCCAACCTGGGTTCCCAAGAAGAGACTCGAGGTCCTTTGCTCCCGGCCAAGACAGACCTACCCGCTCCTTCCTCAGCCCCAGTTGTCCCTGCGAGTGTGGGGCCTTCAGGCCTCTTCTGAGGGAAAAGCTGGTATGGCTGCTCCCCTCTGGGAGGAGCCCTGGCTGTCCTGTGAGCCCCAGGCAGGGACCCGGGCTGGCTCTGGGCAGGCCCCACGGGCTCTTGAGGCAGTGAAGCTTTCTGCCCAGCCCACAGACTCCTCCTTTCTCTCCCCTCTGCAGCAGCACGCCCCCATTCAGTTCTGAGGAGGACTCGGAGGAAAACGCTGCGCATCGTTCGTCTCTTCAGACCCCACGGGTTCCTTCCAAGATGGTGCCCCAGCAGGAAAAAGACTGGGACTGGTCTGACACTGAGTCCTCGGAAGGGAATGCCCAGCGCCCTGACAAGGGCTCAGGTGGGCTGAGTTCCTCTGGTGAGTGAGGCCCCTGGGGGAGACCCCTCTCTGGCCCAGGTTTCCCAAGGTCCTGGACACACCCTGCTGCTTTCTTTGGGCTTTCTGATTTGTTTTCTCTTTCACTGTCTGCCTCAGAGAACATCGTCCTCCTTCCCCTCAGATATTTTCTGCCATAGCAGAGATATCAGGAGATAGCTAGGATGTGCGTGGGCCAGTTTTGCTGCTAGTTTTGTCACTCAAGTGCTAGTTGTTTCACTATTAGAGGTCCGAAGCTGTCACTCACCGCTTTCCTTCTCACATTCTTTATCTTTTTGAGACAGGGTCTTGCTATGCAGCTCAGGCTGGCCTCGAGCTCACTATGTAGCCCAGGCTGCTCTCGAACTCGCAACGATCCCCCTGCCTCAGCCTCCGAGTGCTGAGATTACAGGCGTGTGCCACCAGGCCCAGCACCTTCGCACATTCTTATCAGTAGCAAATAAACACTGTGGTTATACTACTAAAGGTGGCAGGGCGCAGAAATAGTCAGCGTATAGGTTCCCATTGGGGCTGGATTGGCAAAACAGCTAGCACTTGAGGCAAAAGTGGAGGCGCTTCCCAGCTTCCCAAATCCAGATCTGGACTGTGTTTCTGTATCAGACCCTGAGGGGGCTGGATCTTAAACAGGCAGCTGTGGGAAACTCTTCAGCTAGTCTCCAACCCTTGTCACAGGTGCAGGCAGAGGGCCAGCAGGACAAAGAGTTGCATTGCTGTGGGCCGAGGCAGGTTGCCATTTTCCCCCTTTGTGGGTGGGACATAACAGGGTGGTGGGGGAAGAAATTGAGTAGGAACTCCAGTCTTGCCGTCCTGATGGGGGAGCAGGTTCCATGGAAGCTCTGGCAAGAGAGACACGGGCTTCCCTCTGCTTTGTCCTTGCTGGGTACATAGCAAGGGCCCCTCGTTTACTTTCCACAGCGCTGACTGGGGAAGCTGTGCTCTGTTCAGCTTGGGAGGTCTGGTTTTATGATAGGTGAAAGCAGTACACAGTCAGTAGAAATCATGTGTTGCTGTTCATCTGGGCCGGCAATGTGCAGTACGATACCCTCCTGAGCCGTGGGCCGCAGCTCCTACTCAGCCACTAAGTCATAAGGAGAAACAGTGGAACTCTACAGTGTAGTAGGTGGCTAAGCTAGGGTGTACAATTAGTTAGGTGTATTGAATACATTTTTGATTTATATTTTCAAGTTATAATGAATGGAGTTTTGGGGAATGTAACCCCATCATAGATCAAGCAATGAGGCTGAGGCAGGAAGATTGCAAATTTGAGCCCTGCCTGGGCAACTAGCAGCTTAGTTTCAAAATTAAAAAAACAGAGTGGGGGTGGGGATGGCTGGAGATGTAGCTCAGTGCAAAGGCCCTGGGTTCAATCCCCAGCACTGCAAAACAAAAACAAAAACAAAACAGACAAAAACAAAAGAAGTGAAGGAGCGTCTGTTTATACATGGTCACAGACGCTGAAATGGCCTCTGAGATGTTGTGACCAGCTCAAGATCATAGAACTCGTGTCGGGACAAGTTGCATCCTGTATCGTGCTTTTGATGTTACTGTGTTGGAGCCATTGCTTGCTCACTTACTTATTTACTACAAGGTAAAGTTTTCCCAGGAAGCGCTGCCGTTAGCTGTGCTCCTGAGCTGAAGCACATCGCGCAGTATGTTACACTGCTTGAGTTCATCATCAGCACATCCTGGTTTTGTGGTTTCAGAGTTAACCATCGCCGTGGCACAGTAGCCACCAGGGCGCATCTTGGTTACAGCTTTAAGGGAGAGCAGTTAACTTCAATACACATTTTGACAAATATCATTTCCTAGAATATTTGTAGTTTAACAAACACTTTTTTTTTTTGCAGTGCTGGGGATTAAACCCAGGCCCCTCACACATGCTAGGAGAGTGCTGTCACTGAACAGTCCACAGCCTGAACAAACATAATTTTTGTAACACAGGAATAGTGGACAATGTGATTTCCTACTAACCTTAGGGAGGTGGGTGTCAGCACCCGAGTGCTGGGATTTATGCCTAGGTATGCAAGTCTGTCCTCTTACTGGTCACTGCAGTACTTTGTCCTGTCCTCAGCATAATCTAAGCCCGTCAGCCCATCAGAATTCACCAGAACCAGATCTCTGGAGAAATTCCAATGCCTTACCAGACAAAGCAGTAAGCTGGCAAGATCCTGGAACTGGCAGGAATCTTCAGAGATAGTTCGGTCCGTGTCACTTACTACCTTCTTGTCTTTGTGTGAAGATCATTGTTCCTTGGTTGTGAAATGAGGAATTTGCATAAATGATTAACGAAGAGGTTGACCAACACAGTGCTTGCTATATACAGTAGTACCTTTCCAAGCCTTTCTTGAATGAATCAGTGAGACAAGAGCTGCTTTAGCTCTAGGATTCTGCTCAGGTCCTAGGCATCTGAATCCCAGAAGGTTGTACTTGTATGCAGTTAGTTTTTTACTTCTTGGTCATTCCTAAGATCCAGCCATCACCTTGGTTTACTATGAGCCAGGGGCCCCTTGATGACCTGTGTCACCGCCTCGCTCCTGCTTCCTGTACAGAGTTCACAGGAAGCCATTCTCTCCTCTTGTGCTAATTTGATACTTGATCTTTCTTCTTGGCTGGGCGCAGGTATTGATGAAAGGCCTGTCTACATGCTAGTCATGCAGCTCATAAAGCAAAGTGAGTGGAGAGCCTGTTTCAACTTCTCCTTATGGGGAGAAATATCATGCTAAGCCTCCATCAACCCACGCTGTTATGTTTGCATGAGCACATTTTTTGAATAATCCAAGGTCCTGTGAGCTGGGGCCTTCTCTGCCTCCATGCCCCTCCTCCTGACTCTCTTGATTTTCTTTCTCCACACTGTAGCCTGGACAAGACCTGCAAGGATGAAGCATTCATTCTCCAGGCCTTTTCCAAAGACACAGCTACTTGTTTCCCGCTTCCAGGAACGCTGGTGCAGTCGATGGTGAAAAATCTCGAGAAGCAGCTTGAGGCTCCAGCAAAGAAGCCTGCTGGAGGGGTCAGGCTGTTCTTAAGGCCTAACACTGGACCAGAGAGGGCTGCCGTGTCAGGAAGGAAGCCTCAGGTAGGATGTAGAAGTCTTGGGGGTGGCCCTACTATTTTCTAAAGAGCCAGCTCCAAGTTTGAGGGGCCCAGGGTGAGGGTTGGGGCCCCATTCAGCAAATGTTAGCTTTGACCTTAGCAGGACATTGCAGGTGTCATTGTCTAGCTCTGCCCCCACATGTGTAGAGGGATGGCCATTTTGGAATTCTCTGTGTGTCCCTGTTAAGATTTAGAAGTCTTTGAGTCACTATTCCAGCAGCTGCTCAGAGAGTTTAGCTCCCAGTCTCCTACCTCTGAAACCTTTGGGCTGACTGTGTATGGCTTTGTGCTCTTTCTCTTCCACTGGGGGCCCCTCCCAGTCCTTACCTCGCTCAGTGGAGGGTCCCAACCTGTATTAGTCAGTGCTTACTGGAGTCAGATGTAGAACAGTGCAGGAGATCTGTCTGCATGCTAGAGAGCTGAGGAATCCAGCCAGTGGCCCGGATCCCACAGCAGTGTCCTGTACGAGTCCAGCCAAAGGCCTAGAGCTCACACCAGTGTCCCGTGCAAGTCTGCATCAGGAGGCCAAGGAGTCAGCCATCAAAGACTGAAGGATCTGTGCTGGGAAGTCCAAGAATCTGCACCAGCAGGCTGAAAGGCCAGTGCTGAAAGCTGAAGAATCCACAGCGAGAACCAGGAGAAGGCCAAGACCAGAGCTCTCGGCTGAAGTGTCATTGCCAAAGGCTGGAAGATGATGCTTAGCGCAAAGTTGAAGACCAGAACAGCAGTCATCCTTGGCAAAGGGGGAGCTCAGCCAACGAGAACAGCCAAAGCTTCCCTGAGGGAAATCGGCCTAAAATCCTCTCCTGTTCTCCTTTTATACCATTCCCCAATGCTGAGTTCAGCTGGGTGTTCCCGTGCAAGTTGACCATTAATTAACCACCACACAACCCAAGGCCACGTGTTGAGCAGGGTCCCCTGCTGGTGGGCGATGGAGTGGTACCCCGTAGCGCTGCAGAGACAGCCGTGTAAAATGGGAACATTTAAATGCTTTTGTTCTAAATATTCAAGGCTATGCCTCATCACTGAGTGCCTCCCTGGGGCCCTGGCCGTGGTCAGGTCTCAGACATTGAGTGCAGACGAAGCCTTTACCCCTCACAGACCCTCCTCTCAGCTCTCCCTTCGCCCAGCAGGGGAAATTCCACTCTCCTGTTATTTTCTTGGAAGATTTAGAGCTCTCTTTACCTTATATTTCTTTCTCACCTTTCCAATCAAGAAATGCATCTGGAGATGATCCATAGTATTGCTTTCATATTCTGAAGAGCGGGCAATCGTTCTTTGACCTTGTTTGCTGTAGATTTGGAGCCTCCTGCGTGCTAGCCAAGTGCTTTACCATTGAGCCCCTCATTTTTTTTTTTTTTAAGGTAGCATTCCTGTAACCCCCTCACCTTTTTTTATTGTGGTCGGTTTATCATGGGTTTGTGTGAAAGAGCCCCAGCTTGCCCCTTTCCCTGTGGTGCAAGAGTACCCACTGCACCATGCAGATGGAGGCACTGCCCCGAGCATGGCTGCTGCCCCCGGCCTGGTGGCTTCCAATTGGTTGGCCTTTCATGCCAGGAGGAAGTGCATAGAATGTCTTATATAGAAGCCCAGGCACCTGACGGGGGCACTGAGACCTCCGGAGGAAGCGCCTGGCCTGGGCTGTTGCTATGGTCTTGTGGTAACCTGGTCTCTTGCCAGGTTCTGAGCTCGCCTGTTGGCTGCAGCCCGGACCCCTTTCAGGCTGAAGGCTCTGAGCTCCCCTGTTCACTGAAGGGTCCTGATACTCCCAAGCTTCCCCTGTGCCTCTTCATTTACCAGGTCCCTCAGAACCAGTCGAAGAGAAAGGGGCTGCTTTTGCTCATGGTGCACCCAGCCCAAGAACTTGCAAAGGCCTAGGCTGTGGGCTGCTGGCCCTATCACTACGGGTTAAAAGTCTGCACTGTTTAAATGAAAACAAGAGCACAGAATGCCAGGGGAATTTGCAGTCACTCTGGCCCCAGGTCCCTGGAGCAGACTCTCAAAGGCAGCAGACCTGAAACGGCAGGAGGGGTCGCAGCTGCCTGTTGCTTTCTCCCAAATCTCTATTTGCCCCAACTTCCATCCTGAATGGTTGGTGCTTAGCTCTCTGTTCTTCTGCATTTATCAAAATTCATTTTATTTTCCTCTATGCCTCTGCAGCTTTCTGAAGATGAGAGTGACTTAGAGATCTCTTCCTTGGAAGATCTCTCCCAGGACCTGGACCAGAGAGAGAAGCCAAAGCCCTTGTCCCGCTCAAAGCTCCCGGAGAAGATTGACGCCAGTGCTTGGACCTCTGGCCGACCCAGGGTCCCTGGCTGGTGATCCTATCCAGGCCTTGCTGCAGGGGGCCAGCCTGTTACCTGGCTGGGGCCAGCTTGGGGCACATTCCATCAGGCTGCTGGGCCTCTTGCTTTTACCAGCAACCTTTGGAGGAAAGCAGGGCAGGGGCCAGATATGACCTCTCTCTTTGCTGCCTTCTCCAGAGAGTCAGGGGTACCTGGTAGGGGATGCTAGTTCTCAAGGTTTGAAAAATGGTTATAACAGGAAACCCATGCAGGTTCCAGCCTCCATTTCCATGTCTGCTTCAGGCTGAGAAGAGTTACGTAGCCACTCCTCCTGAGCCTTTTGTAAATCTGCAGATCACTATAAGGGGTCCTAATGCCTGCCAGTGATTGAGCCAAATTCAGTTATTGAGCACCTACTCTGTGCTGGGTTCTCCAGCTTCTCATTACTGATTTGGGGCTTAGGCAGAGGTGGGTGGGGTAGTTTACATCCAGGGCCAGTAGGCACTAACTAGTGACAAAGATAGGAGTGTTTTGGGCACGTGGGAGAGGCCTGGGTGATTTTGGAGGACTTCCCAGGACTGTGGTGTCTGTAGGGCCTGTTCACAGGTAGGAAGAAAAGAGAGCCATTTGGCTGAGGCTTCTTATCCTCAAGGGATCACAGATTTAATTTTTAATATTATTTCCCAAATCAAGACTTATACATAACCATTGTATTTTTTAAATGTGAAAACATTAATTTATTATATGCAAACATTTCAATACAGTATGGTGCATATAACTCTGTGATTTCCTAATTGTTTTTTGAGCTTTGCAGGGGCAGAGGGTGGTGAAGAGGGAAGGAAGCAACCTGCACCTCCACTGTGTTGGTTTGTGTCCTTTGAGAAGCCCGCTACCCAGGTGGAGTGAGGAGCAGGAGTTTTGTGAGGAGCCACCTGCAGCAAAGGGAAAGATGGCAGAAGTGGGATCAGGTAGGGAAAGGCTGCTGAGTAGGGTGCAGAGCGGAAAGAAAGGAGGCAAAGAGTCCCAGACTACCAGGTAAGGTCGACAAGGTCTCTACCAGCCCAAGGGGGAGGCGCAGAGCAAGAGCTGCTCCGGAAGGAGTGCCCACGGGGTAGGACACCCAGGCCCTCCTGCGCTGTTCTTGGCCGTGGGTTGGGGCACCCTAGGGTGAGTGAGAGCTCCACCCGAAAACTGAAGGAACGCTGTCGGCCAACTTCATTCCTCAGTGCTGAACAGCATTTTTTCCCCTAAAGGAGGCCCAGTCATGTACCTTCACGTCTACCACAGCAAAGTGTGTTCTTCGTTTTTGATTTTTTTCTTGGTACCAGGAATCTAACTCAGGACCTTGCGCTTGCCAGGCAGGCACTGTGCCACTGAGCGACATCCCTGCCCTTTAACTTTTTATTTATGAGACATTTCAAACATAGATATGAGTGGAGGGGATAGCATGGCAAGCCCGTGTCCTCATCCCTGGGCTTCAGCCGTTATCGAGTCACAGCCAGTTTTGATTCATCGATCTCCAGCTCTTACCTGGTCTGGGCTTCTTTTGACCTCCGAGTGTACCTGAGAGGTGGGTTGGCCTGAAAGTTCTCATAGGAAGAACCAGGGGAGGGGCGATGAAGGAAATCCATCTCACAGAGCAAAAGGAGTCCGGTGTGGTGGGCAGGGGTAAGGCTGGGGAATGGTGGTGTGAAGGAAGCTGTTCCGTGAGGCTGGGCTATGGACCTCGAGGAGCCACGTGGGCGTTGCAGCCAGCACACCCCTGGCTGGCCGGTGGGTAACTCCCTTTGTGCATCCCATACCACTGAACAGCGGAGAATGTTTATGATGGACAGCGACTGTGTGAGGAGGAAGAAGGGGCAGCAAGTGGGGAGCGGTGACGAGGTTCATTCTTCCCTAAGGGTTCTAACAGCAATCTCACATTTTCCTATTCACTGGGTCTGGACAAGAGGTGCTTGTGCTGCCCTGGCCTGGTCTTCCCCATCACATCCTGATGCCACCCAGCTGTGAGTACACTGCCACAGCCAGCCTCCCACGTCACACATCTGCCCTGGAGCCTCTGCATGTTGGCTTCAGGGCTACCTCTGATCTGTAGAAGGTGGCATAGTCTGCTTGCAGGTGCAGCCTGCTCATGTGGGAGAGCTGATGCTCCAGGACAGCTGGGGACCACCATGGGATGGATGCTGGATGTCTCTCTCTGTTGCTGGCACCTCTCCCAGAGCCCAAAGGCCAAAAATCCTAGAGTTCTGACACCCAAGGACAGGAGAAGAAAGATGAGAGAGAGGGAGAGGGAGAGAGACAGAGACAGAGAGAGTGAGACAGAGACAGACAGATACTTTTTCTATCTTTCTGTTCTGCCTCAGCCATCAGCCAGTTAAATAATGCCTGCCCACACTGGGTGAGGATGGATCTTCCTTACTCAGTTTACTGATTCAAATACCAATTTCTTCTGGAAATGCTCTGTCATAGACGTACTCAGAAATAATGCTTTACCAGCTCTCTGGCTATCTCTTAATCCTGTAAAATTGGTAACTAAAATTAAATATTGCAGCAATATTTGTAAGAACTGTGAAACACATGTAACAGATTTTTTTTAAGATTATACAAACCATAGGATTGAAAACTCACCCTTCTAAAACATTTGCACTGTTTGGCTTTCTTCTGAAGTGGGATCCTTTTTCATATGGATTATTTCTCTTTCTTCTCTTATGAGTTGTCCTATTTCTAGTCCCTCTCTCTCCCCTTGTTAGTTGATGCAGTGAACTTTTCTTTGTTGCTGTTTCTTCAGCTTTTTAATATGGAAAATATCAAGTATGTATAAAAATAGACTTCTAGAATGATCTCAATGTTCCTTCTCCTCAATTTTAAAAATCTTGTTTCTTGTGTTCCTCTCAGATATCATATCATTACATCTACAGATATTTGTCTATAAAAGATATTACCCTTTCAGAAATAGCCATTATACCACACCACACCCAACAAAAAAAATAATGATTTTCTAAATATTATATCATATTTCTAATTTTAATCTCTAATTTCTCTTTTTCTATACAGTTGTTCTTTTAAGTCTACAGATTCTGTTTCCATTTCCCTCTTTCCTTCCTTCCCTTCCCTTTTCCCTATATTTTTGCTGTTACTGAAAAAAATCAGATCGTCTCTCCCATATCTGGAGTTTGCTGATTGATTTCTATGTTGGTGTTTAATGTATGTATTTCTTTTTTTCCTCTGAACCATCAGGAAATTTGTTGTTAGAGTTAAATGTTTGATCAGATTCAACTTTTTTTCCCAAGACTCTACGGGAGGTGGTGTGGATTTCCACTAGGGGGCACAGAACATCTGGTTCTCCTCATGATGCTGAGGGTGACACTGATGACGGGCACCGCTGATCACTGCTAAATACATTTACTGATTAGGGATTTTAAAAATTGTGATTTTTTTACATCTGTCATTCGCTTGACCTTTACTAGCTGAAAATCTACAGTTCGTATGGGTAAGGCAGTTAAGGGCTTGATTCTTTTATTTATTTTTTTCCCCCAAAATAACAAGTTGGGTTCCTAACATCCTTAGTATGACCTCATATATTTAAATGTATTTATTTCTTTAAATCAACTATAGTTATTTTTGTTGATTATCCTGTGTTCACCAATGGGTACCTCTTCAGATTGCTTCCTGGACTCTTTCAACGCATCCTTAGTAGTCTGGTAGCTTCCTTGTTATTTGGAATGGAATCTCTTCTAAGCTCATCGCATACAAATCTCTTCCTGAAATTAGTAATTTATCTGGGGAATCCTGGTTCCTTTTAGAAGGAAATTGTATTTATATACACAGTTTAGGCACATGGGGTACCCACTGATACCGCACCTATTACTGTTTCTAAGCCCTTCCATTGCAGAGACAGGAAATGCCATTAAAATACACTGTGCCTTCATATTGTATGCACTTATATTTCCCACTCAGAGTCATGATTCTAGTATTATTTTACCTCATTGATCTAACATCTTTATCTCTTTTTCACACCAAAAATCCTGGCTCTTAACATCAAAATAACAGTCTTAGAATAGCAGTACCAACTCTATTGCCCATAATAGAATACCAAAAACAATTTCAAATTTATTATTTATTTTGGGAGAATTCTTGTCCTTAGAGTCTGTCCCACAAGGGATGTCCAGTTAAATTATTATATTTTAATGTCACTTGGAATAGTTCCTTTCTGTTGTTAGGCTGCTGAAAGCTTTATTTTACTTTTTAGAGATTACATTGTTATTAGTTGTGCCTTATTGCTTTTCAGGCTTCTTTATATACTGAAAATATTAATTCTTTGCCATATGTTACCTTTTCTCTTTTCTGGTTGGTCAGTTGTCTTAATTTCATTGATAGAGTTCTTTGCTATAGAGAGGTCTTACATTTTAAGGGTCTAACTAATCTACGTTTTACTTTATAATTTCTTTTGATGCCTTATTAGGGAAGCATTCTCAATTTCAAGACTTACACACATTAAAACTTGCATATTCAATATATTTGGACTTTTGAGGGGAAGGTGTTAGCTGCAATTTTATTTTTACAGTCAGTTATTTTGACAACATATATGACTATTGTTTTTTCACTTAAAAATATGTCTGCTTTGTCAAATATAATATGTCCTCACTATGTTTGTGTAATTTATATTTTTCCATTAGTTTGATCATATTAGCACTAGCATTGCTGCTTTATTTTTATTTTAGGTTTCTCATTTTTATGATATTAGAATATGCATAACACTGAAATAACCATTTGAGCCATTTTTAAGTGTCCAGTTCTGTGGCACTGAGTCTGCTCACGGGGTTGTCCAGTCATCACCACCATCCATACCCAGAATTTTTTTAATCATTCTGAACTGAAACTCTGCACCCACCAACAATGACACTGCACACCCCACTCTCCTCAGCCCCAGAAACCACGCTTCTGTTTCCTATTCCTGTGGACATAACTACTTTAAGAACTTTGTGTAAATAGAATTGTGCTGTATTTTTCCACTTGTGATAGGCTTATTTCACTAAGCTTGATATTCTCAAGGTCCATGTGCACTGGACCGTGGGAAAGAATTTCCTTCCTTTCTAGGTTGATACCTGTATTTATATCTATGTTTCACATTTTGCTTACCCATTCACTGGTAGTGAAACACAAATGCTAAAAAATTGAAGTGATTGAAATGCTAATTACCTTCATTTCATTATTACACATTATATACATGTATTGAAATACCACACTGCATCTCATAAACGTATAATTATTATGTCAATTAAAATAGAAAAAATAATACACTAAAAATTAAAAACAGAATTCCGGCAATATTACCAATATAACCAGAATTCCCACAGTATTCTGGTTCAAACAGACATTTGTACACCCATGTTCACAGCATCATTATTCACAATAGCTAATGGAGGAAAGCAACCCAAATATGTAGTATTTTCTTAAAAATGGAACTTTAAGTCAAACGTGACTCACACCTATAATCCCAGCACTCAGAAAGATGATGCGGGAGGATAGCCAAGAGTTTGAGGCCAGCTACATAATCAAAAAACAAAACAAGACAAAATACAATTTTATTTTTAATTGTGGTAAATACTCAGACACAAAACTTACCAGTGTTTCTAAGTGTTCTGTTCAGTAGTGTTAAGTATATGACATTGTGGTGCAACCCATCTCAACAATCTCCGGAACTTTGGAAACTCTATACCCATTAAACAGCACTTCCTTCCCTCTCACCCAGCGCTTGGTAACTGTCCCTGTACTTTCCGTCTCTATGAATTTGAGTATGGTTGGTACTTCATGTAAGTGGAATCATAGAGCATTTGTCCTTTTGTGATTGGCTTACTTAGCATTATGTCCTCAAGTTTTATCCACGTTTAGCACAATTTTCTCCCTTAGTAAGGCTGAGCGATATTCATATATATGTATGTGTACATGTAGCACATTTTCTTCATTTGTCACAGATGCCTGGGTTGCTTCCCGTTCTCGGTTGTTGTGAATTGTGCTGTTATAAACATGGATGTGAATATCTCCTTGAGGCTCTTTCAGTTCTTTTCCATGTATATTCAGAATTGGAATTGCTGGATTGGTGGAAGTACACATACGTTTTGTTTTTTGAGGAACTGCTGTAGTGTTTTCTGTAGTGCCTGTGCCATTTTCCATTCTCACCATCAGTGCATGAGGGCTCCTTTCTCCACATCCTTGCTGACCGTGGTTTGATGGCTGACCAGTGAGGGTGCACTGAGCTCCAAGATCCCTGGGCACAGCAGCCTTATGGAGGGAGTGCTTTGCCCGCTGACCAGAGGTGATAGGTTGGCTTAGCCACTGCTCTCACTTTTACTTTGTGCGAGGACCAGTTGACAGGTGCCTTCCACATGGTGGCACTGTGGGCCACAAAGTCACACAAGCGCTTTTAGTGACATATGGACTTCACAGCAAAAGATAAGCTGTGTTTTCCCACCCTCCACCTCCACCTGCGGTAGAGCATAGATCTTATTCAGTCAGGCAACTCTCTTATGATCAAAACAAAACAAACTCCCGAAACCTTCAAAGCTAGGGGATAGAGCAGGTCAGAGTAACCAGCTTTGCTTTCCTACTCGCTCACATGTTGCCAAGGGTCCTTGCACAGAGAAAGGAACACAAGTTAGGGCTGGGGGTGCAGCTCAGCGGTAGAGTGCTTGTCTAGTGTATGAAAAGCCCTGGCTCAGTCTTCACCACTGGGAAAAAAAAATCAAACCAAAGCAAATGTTGACAGGTTTCATAACCTGTACCTGCATTTAAGGAGCCTCCCTATGGGAACTTTTCCCTGGCCTGGAAATATCCAACAGGCATGACAAGCCCACACTGAAAGATCCGCATGACCCTGTCGTCTCCTCCATTGCTGTACTGTTTCTCTCATTTTTTTTCATTTAGTTTGTAGATAGATCCAGTTGACTTGTCTATACCTGCTGCATCCTTTTCTCCCATTCCAGCAACTGTTTAGATTGTATTCAGTCCTACCTGAATCTCAGCTTCAGCTGAGATGCCTTTGAGCTGTCCTTGAACTGCCTGCCTACTCTCCAACCTCCTAGTACATACATATACATTACCACCATCACCATCTTTAGCACCACCGCCAACCTCCACAGCTATTGCTATTACCACCACCCCACCATCACCACTACCACCTTTGTATCCATCAGCTTTCCACCACCATAATGACACACCCAAGACAGGCTAACTTGTAAAGTAAAGAGGTTTACTTAGCTTATAGTTTTGGAGGCTGGGTGTCCAAATGGCCTGGCATAGCCTCTGGAGAAGGATCACCCTTGCCTGCATCATCTCATGGCAGATTTCAGTGATAGAAAACAGCAGTTACATTGCCAGATGAGAAGTCGGAGAATGACTGAGGTGAAGTCCTACAATCCCTTTTGAAGGTGTAAGGACCTCCAAGAGGTCCTACCTCTTGGGTATCTCCCACCTCTACACTGAGTGCCAAGCCTCTAACACATGGGTCCTGGGGGCTCAAACTCAGCCCGAGTCATAATGACCACCACTATCACCACCTCCACACACACTGAGCAATCTGAGGACTGCCGCCTCCGGGTGAAAACAGCTCCTACTACAGAGTGAATGAAAAGAACCTGAGGTGTCACCGGACAGGGTCTGAGGAGGTCCCCAAAGCAGAGACAGGGAACCTGGACTCACCCCTCCCATGGGACGGGTTATAGGTTTGCTAACTTCTATTGTAGAATAATAAAAAATGTCAGGGTGTGTTAGTAAAAGGCATAAAAAGACAGAATTTTAAAAGTACTCAGTCAAAGAAATAAGAATGCCAGCTCTTGAGAGACACGCATCATTTCCTGGGACTGTGAACAGTTCTGTTTCTCTTGCGGGGCGGGGGGAAAACCTATGGAAAAAATGCCCCCAATCCAAATCATCTCATCTTACAGGTGAAAGTTCAGAGCCCAGGGTGTTTTTTTTTTTTTTTTTTTTTCCGGATGGATGATTTAAGCATCCTTTGAATTTTTTCCGTCTCTTTATTTTAAAATCAAGTTCGCACTCTTTATTTTCTCAAGTAACCTAATTCATGGATTTAAGGAATGTGGGGTGTGATGGGTCTGAATGCAAAGAAGCAAGGACCAACCGAGGGAATGCTGATGTGGGTAACTGACGGTGTCCTGGGAGTTGCGGTCTTCTTAAAGGTACAGTTTTTAAAATTATGATTTTCTTTGTCTCCTTTCTACCTAGCTTTATTTCTTTTATCTTACCTCAGAGGAAGGGCATGTGGAGTCTAGACTGCAATCCTGGCAGCTACACTCTTTGCTTACGACATTGGGGAAGTCATGGAACGTTTTGCTTTCACATCTGTGGAGTGAGGAGTTTGACAGAGATGGTCTCCTAGACTTACAGTATTCTACAGTTACATGAATGCCACAGGCTTTAGAAATTCATTTTTAACCTTTAAAAAGGTTAGTCAATTTACTAATTATAACCGGAAAGTTCTTTTGATATTTAAACAATCCTCTTGCTTTTTCTTTGTTCTTTGAAAACTTAGAGCTGCCTTATTTCATAATGCCTGAAGCCTGTATTTATAATCAGCATGTATTTCATGGTCCTGAGCCATTTTCACATAATTGTCTTTTTTATTTTGCTTTAGAATTAGTTCTTTTGTGGTTAATGTATAGCAGAAACAAAATGCTTTTTGGAAAAGCCCTTTAGGAAGTATGGGGTTCATAGCTATATCACTGGGGTCTGGATGGCTGTGTGGCAGAGCTGGGTCTTGGGAAGGCAGCTCTATTCTGGAGAGATACAAAAGAGCAGCTAAGGAGAAAGACAGGAGGTGTGTGGTAGATTTACAATGATGTAGATGGTGGTTCATGGTGGTCTGGGAGAAGCCACAAGTTGGTAGTCTGGACTCCAGAGAGGAGATGGATAAGCAGACAACAGAGCTCAGGTGGCAGTTCTGTTTATACGTGGAGCGCTCTGAGCACACCAGGAGGAAGAGTCTTACCTAGGATATAGGGGAAAGAAACTCCCAACCTCCTAAGTGTCCTGTTCATGTTCTCTAAAATGGAAAAACGAATTCTAGGAACCATGAAGGTTAAGAGCAGGATCTACTTATTGGAAAAGAAAGCTTCTGTCTTCTGAGAGAGATGGTCTCTCAGAGAGAGGGAGAGAGAGAAAGAAGAGGTACCAGGTGGATTATGAAGGACCCTGTCTTTTCAAAAGATTTTTATAGAGCAAAACCATGAGATGAGGTGGGCCCAAGGTAGAGAAAAGTGGGAAATCACAAGGTGGGCATGAGGTGGGACAACACTATGGTCCACCAATAAGATTATGAGCATAACAGCTCAGGTAATATTGATTAAATCGGGATCAAATAGGGAAGCGAGTCACATAGCAAGTGGGCATGAAACAGAACGGGCTTTTCGTGGAGGGGGTTGGATCAGTGGCTCTTTCTGTCTTTCCCAAGGTGATGGACACCTATTTAGAATATCACTCACTGTCATTATTTCTAGGGGAACTATGTGAGTGCATTTGTTTTATCATTTGTCTTGAGGTCTCAATGGATGTGTCTCCCTCACAAGTTTCAATGTATCCAATCTTCTGCAGTGGCTCCTTTGAGGGCCTTGCCCTGTCTGACTGCCTACATTTCTACCTAACCTAGCTGTGTATAACACCAGGACTTGGGCTGGGGGTGCAATTCTGCGGTAGAGTGCTTGTTTACCATGCACAATATCTTGGGTTCCATCCTCAGTACCAAAATAAATTGTCTAAGAGCCAGAGATTGGTATTTTAAGTAGATTTGGTTTTCACATGTAATCCTGCATACTTCCCATGTAATTACTTATAATGTCACCCTGTGTCATGTGCTCCTGAGCACTGGCTTCCAAAGATCCTCTCAAATGTTGTCAGTAAGCATATGCACACATTTTACCCAGTGTATACAGCAAAAACATAGATGGCAATGCTCTGGTCTTGTTATATTTATCTTTTGGAATTCCTATTATAGATGTAGAATGACACACCTACCAACAAGGTCTTCCCTTGACTTTTTTTTTTTTTTTTTGGTCTTTTTGAGACAGGGTTTCACTACGCAGTTCAGGCTGGCCTTGAGCTCACTTTGTAGCTCAGGCTGGGATCGAACTTGCAGTGATCCTCCTGCCTCAGCCTCTCGAGTGCTGGGATTATAGGCACGCCCACCACACCTGGCTTTTCCCTAGACATTTTTAGGCTTGAACGTGGTCTGTCACTGTTGCCTGCTTCCCACACAGAGGTGGGGCCTGAGGGTGGGGTGAGAAGAGCAGGGAGTGTCCACTGTGCAAGGTGTGTGCACACTTCCCCATGGTGTGCAACAGGAATGGGAGAATCTGATGTCACCATGTGCAAGAGGTGACACTGGTTGGAAAACAGAAACTGTTCCAGAAGCTGTTGGAGAGGACCAGGGTGAGATGACCCCCAGGCCTGTTGGATATGTGGTGTGGAGCCTGGAGGGGTGAAGGGACTGTCCTGGCTCCAGCAGTGGGGTCACGAAGGGCACCTGATGCCTGCAGCCATTGGGTGTTGTAGAGCTGAGGTGGAGTGCAGATTGAGCACGGTGGAGGGCAAGAGTTGAGGCGCGCGCGCGCGCGCACACACACACACACACACATACGGCGAGGGCCTTCTCTGCACAGTTTGTGTGACACTCTCCCTACATTCGTATGACAGCATCATCCTATGGGGCTCTACCCTTGGAGTCCACTCCTGCAGTCCTGGCTTTCCCACGTTTCTGTTTTTGAACCTGCTGTGTTCTCTCAGCCTCTCAAAAGCTCAGGTACCTTTGCCTGGGTTTCACCAGTTTCACTGGAATATTCTAGGAGGCAAAAGTCAAGCATGTGAACTGGTGAATAACGTTAACTTTTAAAAATTGCCAAAAAAAAAAAAAAAAAGAGCTGTACTATGAGTAGGCTGTAGCATGTACAAGTGTTCATTCATACCACAGCTGGGCCCTATCCACCTCCTGAGAACATGGGCTGGATCTCGCCTGTGGGTTAAACATGCTTACTATTATCATCAAGCTATAGTCATAGAGTGTAATTTTACCACTTTAAAGTATAAAATTCAGTGGTTTCAGTATCTTCACACTTGATCTTAGCCAAAAGGCCGAGAAGCGATTTTCAGTATCTTCACAACACTGTCCAACCATTTCTGCTGCTCCCCAGTTTTTTTTTCTTTTTTTTTTTTTTTCCGGTACCGGGAATTGAACTCACGACCTCACACTTGCCAGGCAGGTGCTGGGCCACTGAGCTAAATCCCCAGCCCTTGCTCCCCAGTTTTTAAGGAGTCTTTTCATGAGAAAGTTCTGAGGGTGCCGCCTGACTGCGCCATTCTTCCTCCAGGACAGGCTCAGTGAAGGAGACGGGGACAAGCTTGTATTTGGATTGCAGGTTACATGTTATGGGGCTATATCTTCCATTCCTATCTAGCCCTTCTGTTTAGGCAACTCCTTCTTTCTATCTGGAAGGTGAACTGTTGGCTCTGTGTGAAAGCTTTTGTATTCCTGCTGTTCTATGTAGATTATCACTGGAAGAAACAAGGATGGAGTCTTCCTGCCATAGAATTTACTGAATAACAAAGAACTAAAGGGCCTCAAAGCTATGATGACTCCTGAGAGAATAGAAGGGGCTGGACTTGCTTTTAATCAGGTTTCAATGCAGAGACAGGTGTCCTGTCAATTCTCTTATTCAGAGACACATTTGTTGTGGCATTAACAAACAAAGTCAGCATTCCCCAGAGACCGACAAGGCTGATCCTATGTAAGTTTGTGCCTTTCTGAAAAGATTTGCAGTGGGATTGCAGGTAGTTTATATAATCACCCTCCATTCACTGCAGATAGCATAGCTATTCCAGGGGGTCAGATCTGTGGTTATGTTGTTTATCACTTTTCATGCAAATTCACAAGCAGGCTCAAACAAAGGCAAGTCCTCTTGTCATTCATGGCCAGTAGCTCAGCTGCATGAGGACTTGGGAGTAAGAAAGAAAGTCTCTGAACTTGCCTTTGCTTTGGGATTTTCTCTGGCAGACTCTCCTGAGGTTTTTTGAGACAGCCATATGCCTTCGCAGAACCATCATGCAAAATCTTGTTAGCTTAGATCATAGCTATCATAGCTCATACCCACAGTGCAAGTCCAGGGAATGGCTCCTATCTCTCTGAGAAATGAAGTAACAAATGCTATTCTTCATGGATCATGGATGATGTGGGAGGAGCTTTACACATTCTATGTTTAATCCTTATGACAACCTTGGGATGGAGGTATCAGCCCGTGCTGACTATAGACTGGCCTGCCGAGGCTAAGAGAGGTCAGCTACTGCTTTGCTATCTGATGGCTTTCTAGGAAGTGCTGGGACCCCAAATCTCCTAAGACTTCCTCCCTTTGAGCCATACTTTTCATTGGTCTCATGTCATGGTGAGTTGAAACATCTTGGGCTTTGAGTCAGACAGACATGATTCAAATCCCCGTTCCATTAATCGCATAGGTGAGTGACTGGACAAATCATGTGACCTCCATGAGCTTCAGTGTCCTCAGTGCTAATTGTGAGACCGATGCTTTGAGTGGTTCTTATGGGAATGGAATGAGCTGAACACTTCAAAGTCCCCAGGATTGTACTGGGACGTTGCATAGCACACCGGAATCCCAACAAATGATACTTCCTCTTTGTTCCTTATTCTTCTTTGTACCCGTTGTGGCATCTGGCACAAAGTAGGTACTCAAAAATATTTGTGGAAGTAAATTCAAAGGATTCTTCATGGCCTTGTTTCATAAGGACGTTATGAAGTTGGACCCTCTCCAAAAGCTCCCTGGAAGAACAAAAGATGCTCTGAAGCATGTCAGAGCTACTCATGGTTACAATCTTTAGGATGAAGCTGAGAGACAAGCATGCTGCTAAAAATAACAATAGCACTAAAATTCTGAAGTAAAATTCACTGGATGAAGTGCTGTTGCTCTTCAAGAAGCAGCAGTTGTTGAAGGTTGTCAAGTATCCTGAAGCACAGGGACAATGAGTGTGACAGGAACAGCTCCTGGGTTTGGTGCATTGTTTGACAATGACTGTACTGGTTAGAGACAGTGCACTTTGTAAGTGTATCGTTGCTTAAGAAAAGAGAAAAAATAAAAGATTTTTGAATGTTTAATATGAGTGAGAGAGGGAGCGCCTCTTCACCATGAGGCATAGGGAGTTGACTGAGGCCTGTCTAGGAAGGGACTCACAAGCATGCATGTGCATGTGTATATGTGTGTACTATGTGCACGTGTGTGGCATGTATGTGGGTGGTTCCCAGCCAGTCCTTTGACAGATGTTGCCAGCTGATCATGAAATTCTTTCAGGCCTGAGTCCTGAACACAGTCAGCTACGCTCAGTCTGAGCTGGCTTTTAAGATCCAACTACTTGTCCCTGGGTCCAAAGAAAAGGATATTTTGTGCCCACTAGTACCCAAGATCCAAAGGCTCTCTCCCTCTTCATGAAGGGTTACTGAGTCTCCTGACATGGCCAGGTCATGGCATCAGTGCTACTAGCTCTTTTTTATGTGTCATGGAGATTTTAGTGTAGCAGCCATTAATAATTTTACTTCCTTTTGCAATGCACTTGCCTTGGACCTCAAACGTGACTGCACACACTAGATTAGATGACAGCATGGTGACTATCCTGCCTTATCCTCAAAGTAGATTTGTTCTTTTTCACTTTTCTTCCTTTGAGATGGGACTGTCCAAGACTTTCTTCATTCCATATGTTCTTCAAATCCACTAAAACCACTTGGCACAGTGGATATTTCTGCTGCAGCTAACCTGTCCCTGATGTCTGGTGATTTCCTCGTGTCTCGGTTACTGTTCTCTCACTGTTGGGATGAAGTACTTTACAACCAGAATTAAGGAAGGAAAGGTTTATTTAGCTCACAGTTTGTGGAGCTTTCAATCCATACTCGGCTGGCTCCAAGGCAGGGTGGTACATGGCAGAGGGCAACAGTTCATGGTGGCAGAAGATAGCAAAGCAACAAGAGCAAAAAGTGGGAGTGGTGGCAAGCAGCCTCTTTCCCTCTCTTATGTTGTATGCAGGCTCCCCACCCCAGGGCGGGTGTAGTATTCACACCCATAATCCCAGCACTGGACCATGAGTCAATCAAAAACTCTAGAAGACCACGCCATGACTGTGTGAGGCTTTGTGGGGACATCTAGACACAAACCATAACACCCGATGTCCATGTTTTGACTAGGACACATTGGCTTTAAGTAATAGTAAAGCTCGACTGAAATTGCGATAAGCAACAATGAAATTATCACGGGGATCAGGTGGAAGAAGCTTGATACCAGGGGCATAGCTCGATACCGGGTTTTACAAAAGATCTTCACACTCCTGCCTACCTCATCTTTCTCTGCCCTCCAGACCCCTCAGTAGCTGCTCTGCAGCACAAGCCACAATAGCTGCCTCAGGCGATCTGGCAAAGGACTGCTGATTTAGAGGCATTTTCTTCCACATTCAGGAGGAAAATTTGCCTAAAAGGAGAGGACAGTTGAACCACTTGTCAACAATGATCATAACTAAGACTAATTATAATCTTTCTGTAAAACAGTTTCTAAGTGATAAAAAGCAAAGAGCATGGAGTTAGTTTCATTAGGTTTAAAACTTATCTCTCTACAACTTCTCCCATTACCACTCTAATGTGGAAAAGTTTATTTTAACAGATATTTTCAACCAATGTACTAGGCATAAAATTATATTTTTCTGCTATTGCTCTTGCAGAAATCAAGAAAACACCCATTCCTTACTACATTCTGAGAACTAAGGATTATAGAATCAGTTATTTCTTACCAATACTCATTTCTTCCATAAGAGCAAAACATAGAAAAGCACATATCACACAACATATTCATTGTTAAAATACATAAAAGGGAGATCAAGACATAAAAGCAAACTGTAATAAACTGGTAGGTTGATGAGGAACATGAATTGAAAATAGTTTTTATTTTAAAGACTAAGATGAAAGTACCTGTGAGAGAAGACATAGATGATGTACACTGATCACTTCTTTATCCTCTGTTCTGGCTTTGCTTATCACTGGGACTGATTAAAAGATACCTTTGAGACAGGGGATTGTGAGAAACTTTTCTTCTCGGAAGCTCCCCCCCCCCCACATTAAATATACACAAAATAATATTTTTGAAAATATTCTCTCAATTTAGCTTTCAGAGATTTTGCTGGTTTCAGATTGGGTTTCAAAACTGTTGAGATTTACCTATTGCTGTTACTTACTGAATGCTACTGTGTTTCTTCTTTGTTCGAGAGCAGATACAGAAAGTCCCTGACTTATGAACATACACGTTGCTTCGCAGATACCAATGGACCTCGCATTATGGACATTCGTAGATAGATATGAACAAATTGGGGAAGTAATTCACAGGTACGCAGGACACTGTCATAGCTGTGCTGCTGTATGCTCACTGTGCCGTGCGCTAGTGTACCGTAGACAGTGCTCAGCAGAGCCCAGGATGTTCGGAAGCAAGAGGAAAAGCAATGGTCATGTGGAGGGGACTGCTAGGAAGTGCAAAGCAGTACACACTGTATATTTGTGTCAAAGTGTATAAGACTCATTTTGTCAGATTTATGGATGAACCCAACTTATGAATGTTTCCCTGGAATGGAACTCATTCATAAGTCAGGGACTTACTCTACAGTTGTCTCTTGGTATCCTTGGGGGATTGATTCTAGGACCCTTGCTCTACCAAAATGTGTGGGTGCTGTAGTCCCTTACACATAAAATGGTGTGGTGCTTGCATGCAACCTATATAGTTTAAATAATCTCTAGATTAATTATACCCAAAAGAATGCAGATGCTATTTAAGTCATTGTCTTTATTGTTTAGGGAATAATGACAAGAGAAAAAGCCTGTACATGTTCAGTCCATAATCATTTTTTCCAGAGTTTTTGATCAGTAGTTGGTTGAACCCTTGGATGTGGAGCCTGAGGACACAGAGGCTGTACATGAGGAACATGAGGATGGGAAGCCTCTGATGGGGCGGGCCAACTGTCTATGTTTTTGTCTGTGGCCCCATAGTCCCAGCTTGATGCAGCAGAGCAGGGATGCTGACAGTGCCTGGAACCGCTGTGATGGTGGAAGGCTGTCTATGGGCCCAACTACCTCATCTACTCTGGTTTTAAGACCTGCATTCCATCTGTTGGGAGCAGACTTACTCTTAACCAGGCCTATCTCTGAAGCTTTTCATTTCTTCCTGCAGATACTAATTGCTATCTCGTGTCATTTCCCTTCAATTTGAAGAAGTTGCTCTTGATTTTATTGGGTAGGGAGGTAGGGCAGATCTGAGGACAAGGAATTCTTTCGATTTCCTTTTTATTTTTCTATCTGCAAACTGTACTTTGCCTTCCACTTTGAAGGGTATTGGTAATAGATACAGAATTGCGGTTTAACAGTTTTTTTCTCCCCTCCTAGGCCCTTAAACACACACCTCTATCTTCTGACCACCATTGTTTCTATTTGGTACTGTTCTACAAGTTCAAGTTTTGTTTTTGTTAAAAGTTTCCCTCTCTGTTTTTGGGTAATTTCTATTGATTTATTTTCAAATGAATTAATATTTTTTCCTATCATAAGTAGTTTGCTTTTAAGTTCATACATTTTAAAAAATTAGATGTATATTTTTAATTATAGAGTCTTTCTTTCTTTCTTTCTTTCTTTCTTTCTTTCTTTCCTTCTTTCTTTTTTTTCAGTGCTAGACATCAAACTCAGGGCCTTGTGCATTTTAGGCAAGTTCTCTATTACTGAGTTATACTCCTGGTCCCTGGAATTCATGCTTGAAAGAATAGATTCTATTTCTCTGCTGAGGTTTCTTATTTTATGGGCATATTTTCTTTTATGTATTTAAACAGAGTTTAAATACATAAACTGCTGCTGCTTTAAAATTCTTGTTTGCTAATTCCAGTATCTTGCTTATCTTGGAGCCAGGCTCCACTCTTCACAATTTCTCTTAAAAATTCTTCTAAAGAGTATTGATTTTTTGTCTACTTTATCTATCTATGCAATTAACTTGTTTGTACTCATACTGCAAACTGTTTCTTAAGCACATCTGAAATCTCCGTTTAGCTTTTTATCCTAAGCTGTTCGCAGTCAGCCTATGCTTTTATGGTTCAGACATAAGGAAGAGTTTGTAGACAAAATTTAGACCTCCCTGCTCTAAATATCTTTTTCCTAAGATTCCTTCCTTCTCATGTTTTTTCTTCTTTCTTTTTGAGATGGGTCTCACTCACTATGCTGCCCAGGCTGGCCTTGAACTCCTAGGCACAAGTGATCCTCCTACCTCAGCTTTCAGAGTAGCTGAGACTCCAGATTTGCAACCACTATGCCTAGCTCCCTCCTTGTTTTAGAGAGGCTATCATTGCCCTGAGCTCTGGTCATAAAACCTACAGTCTTCCTAACAGAGTTCTAGCTATTTCATGCTGTTAGATTTAGGCTGCCCTTGGGCTAGAAGTCACAATGAAAGAGACAACATGTCTTGTTTCTCTCTCTCTCTTTTTCTACATGTGAACTACCCTCCAGATTATGCCAGTCTTTGTTCATCATCTACTGGCTTTGGGTAGTTTTAGTATTTTGTACAGAGGAGTTCCTATTTGTTATTTGTAGGAAAGTTAGTGTGGTAGGACCTTACTAAACCATCCTGGAATCTAATCCTAGTTTTTGTAATAATTTCTGCCATGCGGACTCCCCAAGTCAAGACCAAGATGGAGAAGTAGAGATTAAAGACCAAAATGTTCTACTACAGGTGTGGAATTCTGAGAGCATCTCTCTCACAAATGGTTGTCTGTCTTTGGTCCATGGTTTGTGGCACATTTCTGTTGGGTGTCTGTGGACCACTGAGGGCAGAGGTTCTCTGCACCTGCATGCAGTGATCTCAGTTTGCAATGTCTACATGTGCTAGGTTTGCAGCCTTCCCAGGGAGGCTAAAATACAGACTCAGGACATAAAGAACTATTAGCAGTTTAGTGCATTTCCTCTCTCTTTCCTTAATTTTTCCACTGTTTGGATCATATTGTATTTACAATAATGTATTTTATCTTTTCATGTGGAAAGGATGAGATTTTCTCTATTGTGAAGATTTCTTAAACATCAACTTTATTTTCTCCTTCATATTATATTACTGTATTGTTTAATTCCTCCTGGTTTTTAGAATTAAATAATTTTCCCTCTTTCTAGTTTTACAGAATTGAGAACAACCCTGCACTGACCTTCTGTGTTGCCATAACCCTTTTTGGGGTAAAGATGATCTCCTTTGGGTAGGTTCCTAAGAAGTCCTAAGGGGTGACCGGGTCACAGAGAATGAGCAGGTAGAGTCTGGGTGTACGTTACCAAGGGGGCTGTGAGGGCCATTTAATGCCAGTGAACTGTGAACTTCTTTTTGGGTTCTTCCTCCCCCGTTGGCTCTGTCCCTTTGCTGATGAATGGGGACTGGGCTCTCTGCACAGAAGTTCCTGGCAGGAGGATTCAGGCAGCCCTCCTAAGAGGATAGAGCCACATCCATCCACTGTTGACTTTCAGAATATCTCCACCTGCATTTTGACTCCAGCCCTGCCCCTCAGCATATTTGTTTGCAATTGGACATTTCTGTCTCCCTCATGCTATTTTAATTATGACTAACGCCTAAGACTTGGGCAAACACTCCCCGCATCATAAGGACCTTTCTGGCTGGCTGGGCAGCCTGTGCCCATTGTGGTATTTTATTCATCCTTCAATCAGATGCCATCCTCTTTACCAGAGGCATTGCTATGGTAACCTCCCTCCTTGGGCAATAAGTATGGGTGGCAAAGTTTGATACATTACCTTTTAAAAATTCTTTGGGGGAAGTTCAAGTTGGTCTATTGAACAAAATAAATAAGCTTTTATTGTCAACAAGGGCTGAGGCGGCGGCTTTGATTAGAGGGAAAGCTTAGACCGGTCAAAAACCTGAAACCTGAGTGAGCAGATCACTTCCAGTTCTACTTAGGAAGTGAATGAGAAAGCTCTGAGCGCTGATGGCGATGAACTTGAATCTCAGACACCGCTGAGGAAGCATTAATGGTGTTGCTAGGATGAGAGGAATCCAGTGAAGGAAAGCGTGGGTAGTTTTTGGTTGCTACCACTTGGGGGGGGGGCAGGTGTTTCTCCTACACACAGCATACTTTGGGGGTCCTAGGGATTTCCCTGTCCTTGTGGGTGGCATCACACCACAGTTCTCTTTAGACCGGAAGCCTTTGAGAATGCGGTTTCACAGAGCACACGGAGCTTTGCAGAGGCTCAGTCTGGTCAGGAGGGACCAGGCGGCCCCGTGTCCTCCCCCGTTATTCTCATCATCTGTCTGTGCAGCATTTACAACGCACATGCTTTTATTCAAAAGATACTGAAACTAGAGAATTAAAAACAAACTTTAGGCAGATTGTTTTAAGCATTATACTTCTTGACCTCATAGGCAAAAATTTTTTAAAATACAATTACATGATTTTCTTCTGTTTTTTTTTTTTTTTAAATTTTAAAGAGAGTAGTAAAAAAAAGAACAATAGCAAAATACCAACATCACAGACATAAACAAAACAAAGCAAGAACATTAAAAATGATACAGGGTTTGAAAACAAAATGATAGGAATTAACAGTGGTTGTTATATCACATATTGTTATCTTCAACTAAATTGCTCAGATTACCAGATGTAAGAATGGAGGATTATTCAAACCATTAAAGAGAATAAAAAAAAATATTGAAAAAAGCATTAGAGACAATACAGAGTTTCACTAGACAAGATGGTAGGAATTCACCAATGGCTGTTCCATTGCACGTTGTTGTCTTCAAATCAGTTGCTCAGATGACCAGATATAAGCATGCAAATTGGTCAAAATATAAATTCTTCTGGTTTTGTGCATTCATTTGTCCCTTGTCCTTTTTTCTTTTCTCCTTTTCTTCCATTTTTATGTATGTACACATTTATTTTGCCCACTTAGTGGCATTCTGTCTGCCACAGCGAGGAGATGGAAAGGCGGCATGCTTCTCTGTTCATTAGCCGTGTGGCCTTGGCATTGGGGTCACGGTTTGCTTCCACCAGAAACGTTTGCTAGAATGCAGGACTTTCAGTGCTGAGCCCAAGACAGTCCTGGACAAACTGGGAAGTCATCACCCTCCTTAGGCAAGATGTGTGATCTTTTTGAGCCTTGTTTTTTTTTTCCCCAGTGAAACAGACAATATTTGCCTAATGGGATTAGTTTAGGGGCAGGGCATAAAAAAGAGCCCAAAACTATGGGAATTTGTAGAGTCTCAATAAATGATAATGACCACAATCTTTTTTTTTTTCTCCAGTACTGGGAACCGAACTCATGAGCTTGCGCTTGCCAGGCAGGCGCTTTGCCGCTGAGCTAAATCCCCAGCCCCCACAATCTTAACATTTATAATTATCTGTATTTTTTAGCAGCTCAGAGTAAGCATTTAGCATCATCTATTTCTGCCACAAATGCTTTTCTCTTCATTTCTAATCCCTGCCCAAAGAAGCAGGTGCCTTCATTTTCACATAAGCCTGGGTTTCTGAAGTTTTGCTATACCAAATTTTTAAAAAGCTATGTTTCTACCAAATCCAAACATCTCTGAGTGTTAAATATTTAATGGTAATATATGAACTGGTTTGAGATGAGCTCTTAGAAAGTTTGCAAAACTCATTGAGGCCTCAGAAGTTTTCTTTAGATACCAGATATCCTGTGCCCAGCTCACACTGAGCCTTTCTTTATCAGATGCAGGTTCATGAGTTCCACCTAATAAATGCTGAGGGGCTGCTCTGGTTCTTTCTCCATAGGGGGTGTCTTAATGCTTAACAGAGCTTGCAAGGCTGGGGCAAGGCTCTTCCAGAGACTGTGTATGCTCTGAATCAGATTTAATGCAGCACACAGAAATTTACAAGATTCACTTACAGTGATGCCCACAGAGTCAAACGTAGAAGAGAGCAAGAGATCTGTCCATGTGCTGCAGAGCTGAGGGATCCAACTGCAGGCCTGGAGCCTACTGCAGTGTACCATGAGTTCACATCAGAAGGCCTAAGGATCTGTGATGGAAGACCGAGGGGTCTGTGCCAGGAGGTTGAAGGGCTGGACTAGAAGCTAAAGAGTCTGAGCAGACAGGCTGAAAGGCTGGTGCTGGAAACTGAAGAATCTGCTCTGAAAGCCAGGAGAAGACCCCCAAGGCAAAGGTGAAGACCGAAGCTCCTCCAAAGAGAACAGCAGCCACTCTTGGATATGGCAAGGATCAGAGTTCCTCCAGCAAGAACAGCCGAAGGACGCTCCTCTGAGGAAAATCAGCAGAAATCCTTCCTTCCTGTTTCTCCTTTTATATCATTCTGACAACAGTCCTCCTTAATGTGGATCTTAAAGCCAGAACCATGCTGACTGGATTCAGCTGGGTGTTCCCATGCACACTGACAGTTAAGTAACCACCACGGGTAGGTTTGGTTGGTCCAGACTGCATGCCAACATTAGGCTACCTGTCCTGTAGGGACCCCATCCTTATTCTATCTGGCTGGACTTTTTGACCAGTAAACAGAGTTGGAAACTGGGGCGGCCCCTGGGGTAGAAGTGAAGTTGTGTGGTTTTGTGGAGCAAGCAAGAAGCTAAACTGGATGTGAAACTTAGTCCTTGTTCTGCCCCCAGAAGGGCTCTGAGCTGTTCTTCCCCCTCTCTAGTCTTTGTCAACACCAGGGGTGTAGTCCTCTGCTTTCCCACCTTCAGAGGTGAACGGAGTTGATCAAATGGCAAAGTGAACGCCAGAGTCTCTCCAAGGGAAAAGAAAGCTAAAACGACACAGTGTGAGGCCAGATTCTGGGTTTGTAACCGTGTTATATTACTGATTCAGAATAAACAGAGAGCTCTGCTTAGCCATGATTTAACACTTGCTGCTTCCAAGCTGCCTGAGGTGGATTTTCAATTTTTTGATTTTGCCCTCAGCTTTTAAGTTTTATTTTTCTCTGTATATAAAATACTCCCATCGAAGACAATTTGGAAAGTACTATGAAGTATAAATAAAGAAGAAAAATATTGTATTTCTAGCCAAAAGCAACAATTTAAAATTTGTTTTTAGAATAGATTTTATTCTGGGGCATATTTTAAAAAATGCATTCTTTAATTAGAGTCAACATTAGAAAAAATATTTATAATTTTAACAGCTGTATGTTAGTTTACTTATACACCAAAACTACTATAAGTCTCAGATTTTTAAGTTGATTCAGTTACATTATTTTAAACAATTGGCATATATCTTTGGGCATAAATATGTGTTATTATTTCTGTGGAAGAAATATGAAGAATCAGAATTGCTAGATGAACGGACAAACATTTTTTGGTTTCTTACATTTTGCATATAATATTGTTTTTATATTCTCTCCCAATAAAATACAACGTTTTCTGAAACAGACTTATATGCACTTTGGACCCATTCCCCCTTGATGTTTCTCTAAGGAAGAAGTCTGTGATTCCTTTTGCAACACTCTGTAGCCAGGGGACTAAGCGATTTTATCTTATTTTGTCATTAGGTAGTAGGTGCCTTTAGTATTGAATATTGTGGTGGTATGCATACTAAAAACCATCACTAAAATGACACTTTTTTGATATCTAAATTAAACACCCTCTATCCAGAGTAGAATTTGAATGAACTTGAAGCATTTCGTTGACATTTTGTCTGCACAACCTTGTGTCTTACATTTCATATTAAGTCATGAGGAAACTTTCTGTTTATCATCGGCTCTTACCACCCTGCATATTTATTTCATGTTTACTTCTGATATTGTGAAAAGAATAGCCCATTTCTTTTTAACTGTGAATTGGGAGATATGAAAAATCAGGCTGGCTTCAACTGGGAGGGATGAAATAGTTCAACAGTCCAGAGGCATAGGCAAAAGCTTATGATTAGAAAACCAAAGAAATGACAATCCCTGATGAGAATCCTAAAATCTCACTGAGCTTGTACATGTGTGTGTGTGCATATGGCATGTGCATATGTGTGTAATTATGAGTGAGTGTGACAATGTGCGCATGGCTTGTGTCTTGGTTACTTTTCTCTCATTGCTGAGACAATACACCACATGCCCAAAATTAAGGAAGGAAAGGTTTATTTATTTAGTTTGTGGAGGTTTCAGTCCATTCTTGGCTGGCTCCAAGGCAGAGTGGCACACGGCAGAGGGCAACAGTTCATGGTGGCGGAAGACAGCAAAAGCAATGAGAGCAAAAGGGAGGAAGTGATGACAAGCAGCCTCCTGCCCTCCCTTACATATGCAAACTACCCACCCCAGGGTGGGTGTAGCACTCACACCCATGAATCAGTCATAAACTCTAGAAGCCTGCCCCATGACTGCATGAGGCTTTGTGGGGACATCCAGACATAAACCATAACAGCTTGATTCCTAATGAGTGTCTAGGAGCTTTGGACCTCAGACTGGTCACAGGTTGGAGGCTAGTGCAGATGAGATCAGGTTTGTTGGAGGATTAGAGATAAAGAATGTAAAGCACTAAGCAACTCTATAAAGAAAAAATAATGGAAACATGTTAATGAATCACTTTAATTGATCCTGCAAAGTCACACAATTGGTTGGCAATAAAATAAGGACCAGAAGTGCAGTGGATTCCAAGCCCATGGCTTTCTTTAGTAGATTGTACCAATTCTGATATACCAGGCATTTTGGCAAAAGTTGTGGTCCCTGTAGTGGTTGATCCTGTAGAATATCTTGTGGAGAAAGGAGGAGGCTGGATACTGTCCAAGAAAAAGGCAAAAGAGTTGGGCATCCCATGGAAAGATTATTTAAGCCCCTTTCTTCTTGACCTTAAGATAAAACACTCTGTGGTCAGCTCCTGGAAACTCCTAGGGATTTTCATGGGTAACATTGGTGAGTCACATTGTGAGCACATGTTTATGTCCATTCATTCCTGTCTCTGCGGAGAAATGCCCCTAACTTTTAGGAAATTTAAGCTTGAATAACACTAAGTTACAAAACTGAGCAAATTTCCCTTTCTTTTCCCTCCCCTCCTTTCCCTTTCCCTTTCTTCTCCCTCTCCCATCATCTTGTTTTTTATTATTATTATTATTATTATTATTTTTTTTTTTTTTTGGTTTTTCTCCGGTACCGGGAACCAAACTCACAACCTTGCGCATGCCAGGCAGGCGCTTTTGCCGCTGAGCTAAATCCCCAGCCCCCTATCTTGTTTTTTTTTCTCTCTCTCTCCTTCTCCTCCCCTCACTCTCTGTCTCTCTCTCATTCTCTCTTCTCTTTCTTTCTGCTGGACACCGAACCCAGGACATTGTACATGCTTGGCATGTGCTTTACCAATGAGCTCCACCCCTAGTTGGAGGATAATTTTAACCAACCAATTTTGTAATATTCCTTGTTTAAAAATGAATTTAATTTTTTCTTGACATTATCAAGCTTCAATAATCAGTTTTCTTTGAAAACCAGAGGAATACATTAAATCTTCCTTTCTATATATACACTCTTTGATAATTTAGACCTCTGAAGCTTTTCTTCTAAGTCAGGTTCAACCAAAGAAAGAAAAACATGAACCAAAACACTGAGTTTGCCTGATTTCTAAGGACTCTGAACCCCTAGAATGGTCTTTGTGGTGCATAACAAGTAGAGTGGGGGACAAAGACTTGGTCAAGCTAGATGCCTCTGCTTTGGCTGTGAGAAGAGGTTAAGAATGGGACATGGTTCAAACAGTCCAGTGAGTTTTATTGGTATCTTTTCTTCTATACATATTAGGAAAGAAATGCTTCCTTTTGGCTAGGTTCCCTTGCTGAAATGTGATTTTATGGCTGGAAATATGAGCAACTATCGGTGGTACTCTGTGGAACAATCTTTCCCCAAAGCAAACCAACAGAGAGGAAGGCAAAATTGAGATATGGGCAGAGGAAGGAAGAGTCTTGATCACATTCTTTGATCCAGCTGTGTCTGAAGCGAACTAGGCATTAGCTATCTCAGTTATATAAGAGTTACGTAAATATTCTTCTTTGTCTTAAAGTTGAGCAAGTTGTGTCTCCATGACTTAAGTAGGTCCTTTACTTGCATTGTTCCATTATCTTTATTATCCTTATTTTATAGATATGGAAAGGGAGACTCAGAAAGGATAAGTACTTTGTTTTAGTTAACATCTTGGAAATGGTGTGACCTGGAATTGAACTTGTGCTCTTCTAACTTTGCAACTCATGTCATTTCTATAGCCTAATATAGATTTAATGAGTATAGCTTTTTGAGCTACTCCATCCAATACTTGGCAGTATTGAGAGGGTGCTCCTATTTTAGGAGCAGGGGACAGGGCAACGACATTGGACACTTCAGGGTGGTACATTAAAGGTTAGACAGGCTAAACTGGTCCTTGGACCCTAAGCCTCATGCTTGGTTGCTCTGGGAGTTCCCTTTCATTAAGGGTTCCAAACTTGCAGAAAACCCTAACATGGCTGCACGTACACCTAGGTGGCTGCCAGGTACCCAGGCTGGTGCTGAGCAGAGTTCTGCAGGCAGAATCACTCCTGGGAAGATGTACTTGGCTCTGAGGTGCTCAGACTTCCCATCTGCACTTCCTGAAGTTTATGAAAAAGAACAGAAGCCATTCAAATGGAAGAAAGCAGTGTTTTTAATTTTTAATTACCAAAACATACAGGTCAATACTCAATGCATATACAATAAGACAGACCAACAACAAAATATTATAAAGCACAATCTAACTATATAGAGACTTTTAAACAACGAATGTGGGTAGAGAATAAGAAACTCAACTGAATCTCAATGCCTCAGATCTGGTCAGGAAATTTCTGATGGGGGTGGGGCAGAACTCTCTGCTCACAGTCTTCAACTCAAAGGGATACCTTCAACTTAGGTCCTGAGAACCCTTAACAATCTGTGCTCTAGATTACTCATCCTTCATTTTTCCCCCTCAAATTTATTTATCTGTTTATTTTTTACCTTACCTCAGGCAATCAATTCCTGGAGTGCCCTGTCAAAACTGGCATAAAACCGCTGCAATGGGAAGATCTTTGAGTTTACTTCTCTAGTTCTTGGTGACCACAGCTCCGACTGCTCAAGGAACCATGATGTGGTGTTTGTTGAAACATAGTTTGTTCAGCCTGAAGACCTCTGAATATTCGCCAAGCCCTCTGGAAGCTGCTTTCATATACACTATTGATGTAAGGGCTTTTCCCCCAAATAATAACCAGAGGGCCAGTCTCATAGCACTGTTGCTACTCCCCGGTTTGGTAGTTTTAAGAGATCACCCTGCTTCCATTTCCCAGGGAGCCTGTTCTGGTTTTGGTGGTGGGAAGGGATTCTTGTGTCCCAGAAGGAATTGACTGAGGTTTTCTGTTGAAAGCAGCAGTGAACAAGCCCAGGGGAGGCACATGGTTGCAAAGAACTTTCAGCTTGGCCTACACATCCACTGTTCCACCCACTCTAGATGAATCTGGTGAAGGAAACAGCTGTCAAGAGTAACGAAACTAAGCATGGTGTCAATTAGCGGCTGCCATCACCTGGCAGCGGCCCGTAGCTTGTAAGTGTGAACACATAACATTAAATTTAGGCTTACCATTTTCTTAAAAGAGCTGATTTTTAACCCACTTTCTGAGGACTTGCTGTATTCCATTATTATTATTATTATTATTAACATGGGTTGTGCTCATTATTATGTGAAGTCAGGACCATGGAGACCTCAAAAGGAACGAATTAGAATTTGGACTTCTGTGTGACTTTACAGAGTACAATACAGACAACATCAAAAGCAATAATTTTTTCATTTTCTTCTATCTATATTTAGGGGTGAGACTAATTCACAGTTACAGTGTATCATCATGCTAATGCTTTACTTATTCTAACTATATTTAGAACTTAGACTACAAAATAAATCCTTTTATCGTTCCACTAGGGACCATTTCTGACTTGTCACAGGAGGAGGACCTCCAGTGGAGAGCCCAGGAAACCGCTGGGATGGTCTTGCTGGAATTCAGCAGATGCCAACAGAACCAGAAACGCTAGGTTGCCTCAGAGTAAAAATCACTTTGGTCCAGTAACTTTTAAGATCACAGTGTAAAAAAACACAGAGAATGGTCTGGAGAGATTAAAAATATCTTTCCCCTTTCATTTTTTTCTCCAATTAGTGTCTACTAGTAGCCAAGTTGAAGATAAAGACAGGAAAATAATCAAATAGTAGAAAATAATGTCTTTTGATCTCATTGCTTTCTTTCCTTTCAAAAAAAATTTTGTCTTGCTATAAGCTGGGAAATAGATCATCAATGCATTTGTTAAATAGAAGGAGGAGGAACGCTCTGTTTAAATCATCAAAGTGTCAGGAAGTCAAACCACATTCTACAGCAGATTTAAAAAGTTATTTTAAAAAAGAAACAGAATTATAAAATGTGAGCTACATAACTTCTAATTCATAAATGGTAACTCAGCTGTTTTGAGATGGAATATTTAGAGACAGAGACGCATGTGGCTAAGACCATCTGGACTCTCTGCAGATGAAATCAAGTCTTTACTAACTTCCAACTGTGAATGAAAAACAACGAAGGGTCAAGGTAGAATCTCCTTGGTTTTTGGGTGAGCTGTCTTTGAGGAACAGTTTCTCCTGCCTGTGCCCAGGGATCTTGGAACATTACACATAGTCGTACTTGGAAGGGTGAGACTGTGCCTCTTCTTCCGTGTGGGCACCCCCATCGTATATCTTCTTGGTCCTGGTGGGAGATCCAAAGCCAGTGCTGGCCTTGAAGCCTCCAGGCTTGTAGGCAACGTTGTGGCCCGAGGCATGATAAGACACGGCTTTGTAGCTGAGAGAGAAGAAGTAGCCCGTGAACATAGATGTCTTTAGTAGGAGGACCAATCTTCCCATTTACCATGGGTGATCTCAGTTTTAGCATGAAAACACCAGTGTCCTTGGCAACCCATTAGTTCTGGGAAGACCAAGATGGTTGTTCACTCTATTCTTTAAGACACTAGATTTCTGCCTCTGCATAAAGCAGACTTTCTTGCTTTTATATGAGGGCTTCACTGAGCTGGTAGGCAGTGACTACTAAATTCTCTCTGTTAATCAATTAAAATGAAGGGGAACTAGGAATAATGTACCAGGAAATATTGTTTTGCCAAAGAACCCTAGAATTTGGAAGCTGGAAGTTACCTAGGTGCAACTCATCTCCCTTAATTTGCCTATTTTATGGGTAATGTAACAGTGGCTGCCAGGGTTTGAAAGCGATTGAGTCATGAGCAATTAGTGCTTTAGAAAAGGGCTGGAGGTTGAAGGGAGCTTCCCCTGTCCCTCTGTCTCTCTGCCATGTGATGCTGGTGTTTTTCTTCTCCCGGGAATACAGCACAACGCACATCCTGGAGGTGGAGGCTGGGCACTCACTGAGACACCTCACCTGCCAGCATCTTGGACTTGGGCTCCTCAGCCTCCAGAACCAAGGGAAATACTTTTTTATTGTTTCTAAATTACCCATTGTGTGGTATTTTGTTATAGCAGCCCAAGTGGACTAAGACCGAGAGGACAGATCACCTGCTGGAGATCAGAGGACCAGCTAGCAGTACAGTCACACTGGAATTCAGCTCTGCAAACTCCAGGTCCACTTGAGGAGTTACAACACAGTTTTGTAACACCATTACCGGTGACATTTTGGAATGGATGCTTCTTTGTTGTGTCCTGTACACTGTAGGATATTTAGCAGCATCCTTTCCCTGTACCTACTAGATGCTAATATCACTTTCCTCTGCCCCCTACCAAAATTGTAACAATCTAAATTATCTTCAGAGGTTGCCAAATATCCTGGAGAGTGGTGATAGCGTAACATATCTCCCAACTGAGAATGACCAAGTACACAGCTTTGGAGCTGGAAGGAACCTAGCATATTTCTTTTTCCTTTCAAAAGTATCACTCCTAAACTTGCTAGGCTGACATATTCCTTGTCTGTTTTTTAGATTCCCCGTGCATGGGAAAGTTCAATGGACCTTTAGTTAATAAAATTCTGCCAAACATCTAGATAAATGCATTAAAATGGACTCTGAGCAAATGAAGTGTCCGGCTGCATGGGGCTGGAAGACTTACCTGGTTTGCTCAGGTGCCAGGCCCCGGCAGGCAATGCACATCAACACACCCCCAATGAGTGTGAGGCCTCCAGCAACCCAGCCCACGAAGAGGGCTGCTCCAAAGGTGTACCTGAGGGGGAAGATGGTGGCTGTGAGTGTAGCTGACTCAATTCTTCAGGCTTTACCAACTGCTCCTAACCCTGCCCATCCTCTCTTTAAAAATACTTCCTTCTACTGGCAGAAGAGAAAGTCTGGAAGACTTCATAAGAGACACTGCCTAGATATGAAATCAGTCTCAAGTTACTAATCTTTTTTTTTTTTTTTTGTACCAGGAATTGAACTCAGGACCTTGTGCTTGCCAGGCAGGTGCTTGTGCCACTGAGCTATATCCCTGGCCCTTTAGATTACTGTTCTTGAAGAAATTTTAGTTCCTGGAGTCCCCTCTGGGCCAGGAAGCATTCACTTTACTTTTTCTTACTTTTTCTCAGGTGATTCCTGGGCTATAGTTTGGGTGTTGAGTATTTCCCAAAGGCCCAGGTGTTGAAGGTTTGAAGAGGAGTAGAATCCTCAGGAAGCGGAGCTCAGTGGGGGTCTTTCAGGTCATTTGGGGTGTGCATTAGAAAGGAATCAGGGACTCTTGGTCCTTTCTCTCTTTCTTTTCTGCTTCCTGGTCACGAGGGGAGCAGTTTGCTGCCGTCATACACTCCTCGCCATCTGACACCCTCATCAGAGGGCCAAAGCAATGACTCTTCCAGATATCAGGCTGAAATCTCCAAAACTGTGAGCCAAAATAAACTCTTTCTCTTTATCAGTTAAGTATTTCAGGTATTTCATTATAGTAATGGAAGCTGACAAATACCCCTTGCCATCTTCCATGCAGGTAGGAGTATTATCTTACAAAGAAGTCAGTTGGAAGTGACTACTCATTCTTTCATTTACTCTTTTGTTTAAGAACTAGGTATTGCTTGGGCCAGGGATGTAGCTCAGCAACACAGTGCCTGCCTGGTAAGCACAAGGCCCTGAGTTTGATCCCTGGTACCAAACAACAACAACAAAAACTATATATGGCAGTCTTACTATGTGTCTAGCGCTGCCCTGGCACTGAGGTATAGGGGTGAATAAGAGAGACAGACGTGCTTCCTCTTCTAGCCTGTAGTGGTATTTCATCCTGAGAGCATCTGACGCCAAAGCTGGTGCCCTTCCTCTATGGGGGATGCCTCCTCTGGAGCTCTATTAAATTAGAACAAGACTGAGAACAAAATCTGAGAATAAAACAGTTGCGAACCCACATGGACATTTTGGATGGTGGACAGAGGTAGCTCAGTGACCAAAAACTGTTAAGATGTCAGTAAGTATTTGATGCTAGCTGGAAACTTGACCTCCATGTGCAAAAGGCCAGGAGAAAAGAGCCACAGTAGATGTTGCCCTTTCGAGGTTTGCTTTGTGTCCTCAAAAGACCATGGTTACTGTCGAACACCACAAATCGCTTACTTTTTAAGTCTACTATACGAACTGAGACTATTATGCCGGCAGTAGGAAGACAGCAATGTGTGCAGACCTCTTCAACCTAAGAAAACATATTACTTCGGATGTACTTAAAAGGCACACACATTTCAGTGTGATTAATTTAACAGTGTAAGACTGTGACCAAGTGTCACATGTAGAGAAGAACTAGTAGACTGAGCTCAGTCCTTAAAAAAGTTTGGGAGAAAATTTATAATTAGGCCATTTCTATCCCTTTTGAGCTAGGAAAAAGACAAGCATTTGGTTTGAAGGTTGCTGCCTTGGAAGGAAGAGCCCATTCTTCAGTGTGACTAGAGGCTGAACAACAAGCTCCTTCCTGATGCTCTTCCTGGGGCCTGAGTGACTTTCCTGGAGGCAGTTCTGGTCTCTCTACCCAGATACAGACAGAGCCCCCATCCTCAGTGTCCCTAAAGATGGATAAGTGGCTATATAATGGCAATCATGTAACAGTAATTGTTACCATTTATTGAGCTCTTGCTGGTATTGTGATAAGTGCTTTTTCACCATCATCTCATTTAATTTTTCCCAATAGCCACTATAATAGGATTTATCATTCCCATTTTACAGATGTGAAGATTGAGGGACAGAGGGAACAAGGGAACAAGTTTCCTCTCCTCAGCGAAAGTTAAATATGCACCTGGGACAGAAAGAAACTTAAACAAGTGAAGTGAGGGAGGCATAAGAAAATATTTCCTCTTTTTGACTCTAACATGTGGAGAGAAACTCCATAAACACGGTGATAAACAGCCTTGGAGTGGGGCCTTTTGAAAGCGGTGGGAATGTGAGCTGGAAAATGCGAGTCCTTACTGAAAGAGCAGCTGCCTCTCAGTGCGCAGAAGGCTGCTTTGTGAGAGTAAGGGCCCAGTCCTGCCAGATCTGATGCTCTTTTACACATGAAGCTGGAGAAATGGATATGTGCACATGTGTGTGTGTGCGTGTGTGCATGTGTGTGCATGTGTGCGTGTGCATGTGTGTGTGTGTTGTGAAATCTGCTTGCCCAGATATTAACAGTCCTTTGCCTTGTTAGCCATCTGTATGTGTTTCTTCTCCAGCTTGTCTTCTTTTGCCTTTCCCTGGTGGTCCCCTGCTCGTCTCCCTGGAGTTCTGCTTTGGTTCAGGCCCTGAAGCCCTTGGCTCATGTGTGCTGAGAATGACTGGCATGGAAATATGAAAGCTCAGATCTTTAGTTTAGAGACAACTTTGAGGTGTAATTCACACCGCAGTGACTTCTCTCAGGATTAGGCTGAGTCAGAAACGCATCTGAAACCACACTCATGCGTGGCTCTTCCCTTTCCTGTTCTGTCTTCCCCACTTCCTAACCTGCTTCCCCTTCCTTCATATACACTTCTACAGGGACCCTCTTCTCGGTGTCTGTGTCTCAGGAATGCAATCTGTGGCACTTACAATTTTAAAAGTTAGTGATGAATCCACATTATAAAATGAAACGTTTAGGCTAACACGAAACACCTTGCAGGCAGCATGCAGAGGGAAGGCAGGAGGTGTGTAGCTCTGAGCCAGGGCTTAGGCTTGGCCAGTGCTGCCCACAACATTGCAGTGACAGAGTAAGGGGATGAGTGCAGGAGGAGATGTAAAGTAACGGGGCATCAGAACCAAAGTTCCATCAAATGGCTTGAAAAATCTTTCTTGGCAATTGGGCTGTCTTGTATGATTTCTAGACAGAGAAAATGAAGAGAGAAAGACGCAGACAGACAGCTGTTCATCCATGGAAAGAGACATCCAGAGGCCTCTCAGAATCTATAGTCTGAATTACAGACTGAAGCTGCCTGCCCACGGGAGATGATGCGAGAGAGTGCATTATCTCCGGATGTTGGTGGGTGGCTCCTCTGGGCGCAGGTAGTGACACCAGGCACACCCAGATATTCTGGATAGGGTGGGCTTTTTTTTTTTCTTTTTTAGTAGACTGGCCAACACTTTTGCTTTTTCCATGGTGGAGATATGGTTCAGGATGTGGGAATTCTAGTGCTCAAACTGAGAAAGTCCCAAGTAAAGTGAAATGAATTAGTCAGCCTACTTCTAAGCTGCCCTTTTAACCAAGGAACCATGGGAGGAGCATGGCAGAGCATGAGGACAGCTCACTTATGGGGATCATTTATTTTCTCATTCTTGAACAAAGCAGAAATACAGAGGTGACTGGACCAGGGACCCAAAGAGTAATGGATTTATCACATCATCACACCTATTCATGTTGCTGTGGCTGGAGAAATTCCAGTGCTTCTATGTAGAGAGGAAAGGTCACTTTGGTATAATATTTATATTGCTCTCCCAGAACAAGGTCTTTTTTGCTGTTGTTTTTTGCTATTAAATACATCCATCTGAAATGGCTAAATGAATGCAGGTGTTAGTACTGGTTTCCTATCTTTTAAAAGTCATACTCCAGGCACCAAACTATAGTAGGGCTGCTTCCTCCTGTGCTGGACTGTAACCTTCACGAGGGAGAATCTTGTTGGTATCTCTGGTATTCTGTTCTCTTTTTTTGGTGCTGGGAATCGAAGTCACAACCTCAAGCTTGCCAGGCAGGTGCTGTGCCTCCGAGCTGTATCCCCAGCTTTATATTTCTGGTACTCTGAACACTTCCTGATCCACAGGACATGCTCAACACATTTGCAGAATAAATGAATTAGTGATGGAGAGAAAGACACAGCGGTCCAGGGAAGAAACATTTCGTTTCCCCCCCTAGGCTGCACTAAGCTCATATCAATTTCAGTTTGTACCTTTTCCTAGCCAGGTTCCCACTATGGACTGTAGATGTGAACTGATTCATTTACATGCCTGGTTAACTGCTTATTTCGTTGCCACCACAATGGGGCCTATGTAAGAGTGTTAGATAAATACTGTAAACTGTCACTGTATTTCAATGCAAATGTCAGATCAGCCTGAAGTCATATCACCAAGAATATTTCACTGAAACGAAGTTTATGAATTTATAGATCACTGTTGATTTATGATAGGGCATGGTTCTCTCTGATAAATTTTTGCTATTTTCAGGCACTGACAGTCATATTAGGTACAATATTCACTAGGGAATACTGAGATATAGATTAGAAAGTTACCTGGTTTGAACAGTCTGTACCATCCCACCCATGGTGCCGTACATGCTAGCTGTGGACATCCAGAAATTAGTAACCAGCATGTTGGCAAACACGGACACGCCAATTATTGCACAAATACCTGTTGACAAAGAACAAGAAAGCTTCAGAGTCAGCTTTAGGGCAGTTTATGCTTAAATGAGTTTAGGTGAGGAGGCTGTAGAATATTCCATTCCTATACAGAATGGTCAATCAAGCATTGACTGTTGAATTTTCACTATGTAAGATGTGGACCTAGATGCTTATCTCTTACCTAATTCATTCTGGGGGGAGGCAGAGAAGGAAAGAAGGAGAGAGGGAGGGGGAGGGAGAGATAGATAGATAGATAGATCCCATGCATCTAGAGATCAAGGGTAAATAGTCCTATTTTGGGTTTGATCCTTTGATGTCAAGAGTTCTTTCCTTAAATCATTTTCTTTTTCATTAAGAAGATGTCTTTTGGGATTAGCCGCATGATTCCCTTACATGAGCCTCTTATATTGCATTTGTGGTGACCATGGAGAGGGTGACTGGCACTTACTGGGATGTCATTAAACTGTAGTGTGTCATTAGACTTCCACACTCAGACCCTGAATCTCAGCATGAAAAGGTCTGAACCATGCTCAATAATAAGGAGGAGCCGTGTTTCTTCAATGGGAATGATTCTACTCTGACATTCCCAGAAGCACATTTGAGAGCAGGAACCCATGTTTACCTGAGATAATGAACATGATCCCAGAGGTCAGTGTCATTTTGGCCTTGGCAGAGTCCTCCATGCCACCAATGCGAATGCATTTCAGAGCGAAGATGGACACTAGGATGCTGATGGCGCCCAGCACAATGCCCACGATCATTAGGGCTCGCACGGCCTGCAGCATGGCTGTGGGGCAAAGGGGAAGACACAAGCAGACCACCTCAGCACAGCTCATTAGGCTCTCGGTTTATAAAACACAGCAACCGCAACTAACCAGCGCTGAACCTCTGAGAAATAGCAAGTCCATAAACTGAACCTTGCCATTGTCAGAGGATGGGGAATTATGGGAAATGAGAAATGGATAACGAACAATATTCTGACTGATGAAGGGAATGCACACAGACATCTAGAGAACGAGAGAATTATGAGTGGCTGGGAGGACTCTTGGAATTTATTTATTTCATTTACCTTATTTTACAACTTGATCATCTGGGTTCTAGAGGAAAATGATTTGTCTAAAGTAAGAGTTAAATTATTGATAGAGCTTATAGTAAAACCTTGCAGCTTTAGCTTAGAATCCAAATCTGTCTTTCCATGTGAACTCAAAATTTCATATAGCTGTGTTCACTTTAGGAAAATTCAGTATTCATGTGTACCACACGACAAAGCCAAAGCACATGTGTCTTGGTTACTTTTCTCTCGTTGTTGAGACAAAATACCCAATGCCCAAAATTAAGGAAGGAAAGGTTTATTTAGCTCACAGTTTGTGGAGGTTTCACTCCATACTTGGCTGGCTCCGAGGCAGAAGATAACAAATCAACAAGAGCAAGGGGGGAATGGCAACCAAACAGCAAACAGCCAGAGCAAACAGGAGGAATCGCGGCAAGCAGCTTCTTTCCCTCCCTTACTTTGTAAACAGGCTATCCCCACCTAAGGGGCGTGTAGCTCTCATATAATTTTCGTGCCCTCCTCTTGCACAGGCTCAGGATGTATACAAAGTAAGCACCCTGGCTTCCTGCTGAGTCACTTAGCCAAACCTCTAGACTCCCCAAGTTGACACAATGTATCAACCATAACAACATGATATAGCACCACTAAGGTCACCATGAACTGCAGGTTTCAAATGTATATAAAAAATCAGTTATCAATATCAAGCCTTCCCACACAACCACAGTTTTCTGTCGTCTCCTTTCTAGCAGCCATTTGCAGGTGTAGGTTCTGCTGGACTCTGCCGCAGCGACCTTACCTCCAGACATATCCAGTTTTGTTTCTGTTGCATCCGTAAAGTTCAGTGACTCATTGCAACAATTGTTTACTGAACCCCTACAAGTGGGCATGGGTGACCGGAGTTAATAGTGATCCTTGGTGTCTTCCACAGGATAAGTCTCCTACTGTGGGTCAGTTTGGTAAAGTGCAGAGCTAGGTACGCATATAATGTGCTCGATACCGACTGCTTCCTCCTTTCAGGATGTCTCCCTTTCTCTCTTAAGCACATGATTCCTGCAGGAGCTGCCAGGTCTTCATCAGTGCTTTCCAAACTACTTAAGCATTTTAATTAAAAATTGATGCCCTGACAGAATAGAAAATCGCATTCTACAGTGTTACAGAAATGTCAAATTATTATAAAAGTTTAGAAATATTTATTCTCAGTTTGGGTAGCAGCACTATTCGGATAGATAACAAACAGCTTGTAGACCAGCATGGAATAGCACTGCAGTAGCACCATGACCCTGATCTTTCAGGCCACAACGTAGTCCTTGACTGCAGTTAATGTTTCCAACATGGGCATCCGACTCAAACTGGGCAGATGAGGCCCTTATACACGGAATTGGTACTTTGGACACAAGTCTCTCTCCAGGACTTGAAAGTATAAAATATAGTCTTGGAATTCTGCATTTTCTACCAGGGAGAGAAAGCTGTTGGATAGTAACAAGCATACCAAACTTGAGAGAGAGATAGAGATTCCTGACAGTGTTTGATATCTGCACTCCAACTATTCCTGAGGTCTAGCTACAGTCTCTCTTTGGGATCCAGAAACTATTCTAGCATCACTTAAAAAAATCCCCGTGAAGCGAATTCGTATTGGGGTTGTGCTGCTTGAAATCAGGTGGTTCTAATATAGGTGAGATGCCTTCCTCAGTGTCTAGAAATACTCACTCTTAAAGCTATATTGTTGGGCTGGGGATGTAGCTCAGTGGCACTGTGCCTGCCAGGCAAGCATGAGGTCCTAAGTTCAATTCCCAGTACCAAAAAAAAAAGCTGTATTGTTGGTGGAGAGTTTCCACCCCTCAAGGGTTTGAAGATATAACCAAAGTGGTGTTGAAGCCCCTCACAGATGTGAGGGACTTCTTGTGTCAAGTCTAAGCATAAAGGCATCACATCCTAATGGGGGGTGTTAGAGAAGGAGTAAGGGGCACAATTTTTCTTTTGTTAAAAAAACCAAAATTTTTTTTCTTGGTTATATAAGTAAGAGATGCCCATTCAAAAATTTCAGAACCTATAGAAAACTATAAGCTTAGGGAAAAGCCCTTCATAACTCTTTATCCCATCTTTTGGAAATAACTATCTTCGGCATCTTGGTGGGTAGGCACTTTTCTTTTAAAGAGGAGAAATAAAGTCCCAGTGAAAGTGGCCCTGCCATTCAGATCCAAGGGAGCAAGTTAGGAACCACTAGGAAACGCAGTTGGTTAAAGACCTTACACAGTTCTAATGTTAAGGGGGTTGGTCACATGCTACCCCCAAAGGAGACTAGTTAATAATGCCCAGGCAAAGTTGAAATTTGCAGATGGAAAGAAACAGGAGAAATATTTAGAACTTTGTCTGCTTATAAAGGATACCAGGGAATCTGCCTATATTGTTACAGGCAAAAATCTCCTGAAAGTATAAACAGAACTGGAAGCTCTGTCCTGCCCCAGCTGTCACAGTGGGTTCGTACTTTTGCTTGAAAGCTATTAGGAGTTTTATAGATATTAAAAAATTTCAATCCACATTAAAAACCCTACAATCTAGATAATACTCTTATCTCCATTTTATAGTCGAAGGAGCAGAGGTTTAGAGGTGAAGTCACTTGCCAGGGACACACACCAAGAGAAGGGCAGAGCTGGGGGTCAAACTCAGAACTGTCTCAGAGATACTTCTTTCCCACCACAGTGTGTTGCTTTGAGGACCAGGAAATATAGGTGGAGTTCTGGCTGCTGTCATGGGACCGGGATCTGTTAGCTCCCAATAGAAAGTATCTTCCAAACTTGGAGACTCGGCCGAGAAGTGTCATCCTCTGACAGGGATGTTAAGAATGTGTAACGACAAGATAGCTAGGATAATTGTACTACTAATTTCTATTAGTTCACTGAAAGGAACTTCAGTTAGTGCTTCTATTGTTTGATCAATTTTGCATGCCTATACCTGGTAACCTGAGCAACTACTTTGAAGACAACAATACGCAATATAATAACCATTGTTAATTTCCTATCATCTTGTTTTGAAATTCTGTATCGTTTCTTTTTTTTGGGGTCTCTTTAAAAAAAAAAAAAAAGAATGTGTAAAGGGACATTCTCCAAAGTCATCTCAGGGGATAACCTGCCCCGGGACATTACTTATGAATACGACTCTCAAGACAAGGGCATTTCCATCTCCTCCAGGAACCCTTGAGGGATCTCTGATGAACCTCCCCAGGAAGATTTCCATCTCAAATAGCAACCAATGTCAGCAGCACTGCCAGCATGTTCAGTCTAAAGTGTGTGTCACAGAGCAATGTGTCATGATGCAAGAGCTGTCAATCAATGAGAACTACCGAAAAAGGAGAGTTAGCTCATGCACAGTGTGCTGGAGTCTTCTCCCTTTTGTAAGGAAGGGAGGCTCTGACAGCCTTCTCTGCAGGTGTCTCCCTGTGGCAGAGGTGAGTGTTCAGGGACTCTAGTTCTACACCACCGAGACCTTCAATCACTTCATTATCATTCTCCTCCCCCTAAGAAGTGTTGCTTGTCTGTGGGAAGAATTCTACAAGCACCCATCACCAGTCTTGGTCTTACAGTGGTAAATGTGTTGGCACATAGTGTGGGCCATGGATCTAAACATTCCTAGGAGAACTGATATCATTGGCATCTTGCAAGGGCAGCTGAGTACAAATGGTAGAGCATGGATGACTCCAGTAAGGCACAGAGAACTCATGAGAACCTTGGAGTGGCCCTGTGATCTACTTCTAATATGGGGAGGCTCTAGTGTGTCACCTCTGTGCTCCAGAGCCTTGTTGGCCCTGCGGGATGCTGGGAACACTTTTGTTTATTACCTCACTAACAAATACAAGCATGTGCTATCTGCAAGTGTATTCAGTTTAGCTTTGTGTATTTGAGCCATTACACTGGTGCACTCCCATGGTCATAAATTAACATACTCATACATTCACCCAAGACTTCCTTTATTCATTCACCAAGTATTTTAATGCTCAAATCCTCTGCTATGCCTTTTGCCAGAAGCTGTAAGAGGTATAAAGTTTCATGAGATATAATCTCTGCCTTTAAGCCTTTTACAACCTGGGAAGATTATGTTTTTACCAGAAGTCTTGAACTTCAAATTTATTCTCATCTTGACAGCATCTTGGCTGAGTAAACAAAAAGGAACAATTTTATGATATCAGCTTGTTCTGTGGTTCCAGTTCTCTTTAATTCACATAAACTACATGGCAGCCCTGTGGTTCAGGACAGTGATGTAGAAGGCATGTATGCGGCAGTCATTGCCATTAGGAAGCATTCTCATTCCATTCTGCTTTTGGATATTCCTCTCAGGAAATAGGACTTTTAAGAAAAAGAACCTTAGACATTCCCTCCATTTTGTTTCCAAGAGCCTCTTCCAAACTTAAAATCTACCCAGCATCTTTTTAGAAGATCTAAAGACTTCTCCAGTTCTGATTTTTTTTTTTAAACCTGAAGCTGTTCAGAGAACAAAGTAATTTGTGCCTCTTGAGAAGCACTTGGTAAAACATCTGGTTAAAATAAACCAAAGCAGGGAAGCAAGCAACTAACCAACCAACCAAAATATAATTAGCCAAACAGGATAAAGGTACCCCATCTGTACTCCATGCAAAACTACACATCTCCCACCCTCCACAAGGATGGGTCCCTGGCTCTCTGTTGGCTGAGTGGCTTTTTTATTTGTTCCTAAAGCATACCAAGTGCACGCTGTGGGTGTGG